CACGCTCTCATTACGCCTCCTCCGCCAGCTCTGTAAGCCCTGCCTCCACCTCTTCTTCCTCCTCCTCCGATGAGGAATGGAAAGGCTTGTCCCACACTGGGAAGCGTGTTCCTGAAGCAGGATCTGATGGGTATGAGGACTACAGACCACCGTTGCACAAATCCGCCAGACAGGAGAGTGTTGCTCCTCCGTGGGAGCTTCCAACCTCCTACGCTAAGTATGCTCCCCCAAATGCAGTGGCCCCACCTAGCACGCGGTTTAATGGAGGCCCCTTAATGCCGCTGCATGGCGGACTACCACTTTACAGCTACGGTAGCTCTCCTATGGCGCCTACCCACTTCATAGGTCAGTCCTACTGGCCGATTCTCCCCAGCAGGCGAGTCTCGCTTCAGCCCCGTCCTCTGCTCATGGACCTGGACAACATGCTGCAGTCGGTTCCTCCAAATAAGAGCGTGTTCGATGCACTGCTGCCTGTTAATCAGAACACTTACTCACATCACCAACCACAGAGCCAGTACACCCTGCAGAATGGAACTCCTCTTAACAGGTATCATCAGTACTGATAGTACTGGTGACACCAGGTATCACCAGTACTGATAGTACTGGTGATACCTGGTGGTACGCAGAGAGATACCCCACCAAACAAGGAATCCAAACAGGAAGTAAACAATAAGCTCCAGACAATCTCTTTTATGGTTTCTTGCTAGCCAGAAGCTGCTTTTTAGTTTCTTTTTTATTTACATGTTGGTGTGTTTTAAAACAAATTGCAATTCTGCCTTCAGCATTTGAGTTTCATTGAAGCAAAACTACCTAAAAAATAAAAAAAGCAATATAACGCAACAGATATCTACCTCAAGTGTTTCAATGAAACGTTGTGCTGCTACAGACTCTTTGCACTGCAGATCTTGTTTGCACAGTTGTTTAATACAATGTCTTGAGGATCGATTTTAATGCTGTCTATCCACTGTGACTATTGAATGTATTGCATGGTGACTCGCGGAAAAAAAGCAGCTGCGAAGTCCAAAATTGCAAGGAGTTCATAACTGATGGCCATCAAGTTTTTTCCATGTTGCATTACACTCAGGCTGGCCTTAAGTGAGAGCTGATATGTGAAGGTAAATTTTACTTTCCTTGTTTACAAATGTTTCTCTTTTTTTAATGTTTTTTATTTTTACTGCGTGCAAGAGAAAACCAAAGAATCCAACACATTTTGAATCACTCGAACTCACGTTTAGAACACAGCACCAGAGTGGCGCTAATAATAATGGAAAGTTTAGCCTTAACAATTTTTTTTCTTTCTAGATTTTTTTCTTGCACTATTTACCTGACGATCTTCCAAAAGACACCACTTTTAGATGTTTCCCTTCCACGACTGAAGAATGTAATACAGGCTTCCTGTCAACTTTAACCACTGACCAACATGCAACTATGCATCATTAAAGTTTATACGTCTGTGGAGATCTCTTGAAGTATAACAGGTTTCTAAAAAGTTTATGTTAGCAGTGCTGCTCAGTGTTGTACAGATAAATAAAATTGACATTTTAACAAAACTGACTTAGGTTCATTGCATTGTTTCTGTTATTTATTTATTTTCAAAGACTGAGTAACATCATCCGATATGCTTCCGGTAAAGGATTTTTGTGTGGACCATTTAAATCATGAAAATTGTTAAAGCTGTAATTAAGTCTGCAACACAAAGAAAAAAAGAAGTTATATTTTGAAATATGTGGCTGAATGATGAAACATTTTGCTGCTCCAGCAAAATGATGCAGCTCAACACAGTTTTTGTAACTTTGTCCAGCTGGTGTATATAAATCTGAAAAAGTGTAAAATATGTTCATCTTGAAGTATATTTATTTACCAGAACTGAAAGTTCTTAGTGGAGCGGCAATATTAACATAGCATAAAACACTCCAAACGGACTCCATCGAAACGAAACGAAGATATTTTAGCATCGAGATCAATATTAAAGCTCATGCATATTTTAAATTTAGAAAAGATGAAATGTAACATGTACTCTATTCATATATATATATTTTTTAAATCAACTCCATTTGACCATTTTGCTACAGAAACTTGGGTTCAGAAATTGGGAGTTTCCATGCTCCTCTTTCTCTTGCAGCACTCTGATTTACATCAGCAGTCGTGAGCCTCCCGCTGATCCCCCCCACCCCCCCCTGCTGTGACCACTATCTCTGTATCAGCTGCCTACGCATGCCTGCCTGCCTGCATGCACTCCGTCCCTCCCTCCCTCGCCATCCTTCCTCCCTCTGCTCATGATCATTCCTGACACCAAAGGTGGGAGGAGGGGGATGCCGCATTGACCCAACACAACCATTCTAACCATTCTGGGTGCGACTACCTGTCATGCATCAAGTTTGCAGTTGTGGAAATTGTTTTCTGTTTCCACAACATGGAATTTAAACTATTTTCTGTTGACAAATGGGATTTATTTATAAAACTTGGGGGGGGAGGGGGGGGAGGTATAAAGAACAGATTGTTGGCTTGAGAAAAGTACTTGCTCAATTCACATATCACTTAAGTTCATCTTGACATTTGCTAAAAACAGCATTCAGAAATACACACTGTGTGATGCTTTTGCCAACTAAGAGGTTTGGATTAAAATACCAGTGTGAAAAGTAATAGTTTCAGGAATATACATGCAACAAAAAGTGAAATTTCACAGAGAAACATTCACAGTTCAGGAACTTGAGCCATTATTACGGTCTGAATCAAGATTTCTTGTCAAACCTTTGGTATGTGCCATTGTCTTATTTTTCACACTATAATGCTAGAAAACATGCCTGTCACAGTTTTACCTTTAACTTTCTTTTTGTATCTTTTGGTAATTCAATTTGATGAAGTCTGACTCTTGTTTCCTACGATTTCCTTCCAGTTCTTCATTATTTCTCTTTACACTCCCTCTTGAGCCATTCTGTACTCAAACACACTGCCCCTCTCAGTGAACACCTCATTCAGACGCCTTCGCTTGCTGTGAGGTCCGCCGCTCTTCAGGTCTCCCTCGCTCCCAAACCCCCCTCCTCCCGGGGTGTAAAGGCAGAACATGTCCTGCAGGGGGAGACCAGGAGTAGATGTGTTATTTCATTTACTGTCGAACAAAATTAGGGACACAAAACTGGGTATTATGAATAACTTGCGGGGAATGTCTTGTGATAACATTTCTGTTTGCAGAACCAAAAGAACTATAATCTGCCTGGCAGAGGACAGACTGTAGCAGATCATAGATGCTTCATGCCATTTTTTGTGTGGAGTTTTAATATAAAGATCTTTTCCTCTTTCCAAGCAACCAGCCGGATTTTACTGCAACATTTACAATCCAAAGAGCCATTTCTGCCCTCTGTACATCAAAACGAAACTGGAAAATCTGTTTTGTGTGTGTATGTGTTTGTGGGTGTTTTTTTAAATAAGAAAAACAATTTTATTCTTATTTTTAGGTTTACAAAATGAGAAAATTGGCTGCAAATTCTCTGATTGGTGCGCCTCTCTTCTTACTCCTGGCTCCAGGCTGACACTGGTCTTTGCTCCCAGGTTGAGGATTCGACCGTCAGCTCTGTGCAGCAGGTTGAGCCCCGTGGCGCCATCCTCGCCCCCTAAGCGTCAGAGAGAAACATGGCCAAAATGATTTTACACTACTATAAATGGAGGAGGAGGGAATAAATGAACACACAGAGGAGACCCGGAGCAGGTTTCAGTGATTACCTTGAAGGCCGTAGGGGCGGATGGCCCGTCTCTCCGTCAGGACGGACAGGACCACCTTCTTCCTGAACCGAAGTTTACGGATGACGCCGTCGCCTCCTTGGCACGTTCCCGCGCCTCCTGAGCCGGGTCGCAGGGAGAAATGCTCTAAAATCACTGGATACCTGGACAGCAGATGGATCAACAGCTGCAGCCAACAACAGAAGAAAACAAACAAAAAAACCCCCCGACAAACTGACACGTCTTCAGCAAACTGTCTCACCTTTTTTCCAAAATCTCTGGATCGGTGATGCGGGTGTTGGTCATGTGAGAGTGGACGCCGCTCCGGCCGTGCCAGCCGGGCCCCGCCCCCGCACCTCCAGCCACCGTCTCGTAATAGCCGACTCGCTCGCTGCCGAAGGAAATGTTGTTCATGCAGCCCTGATCGGAGGAAGACAGTGCAGCATTAAGGAGGCGTAAAAACATGCAGTCAGAGCTGTAGCCGGGTGTCTGCAGGTTTCACAGGCTCAAATTTAAAACCTTTATGAATGGAATTTAAGAGCCATATCTCCAAACTTTGCAAACTTTGAGACTTACTTGTGATGGAAGCAAAACAAAAAAGAAGAAAAAAAAGCTGGCTAATTTATGAGTTTTCATCGTCAAGACGAGTATTAGGGTCATGTTGTGAAAAAGAAATTACAAGAAAATATTCATAAAATTACAAAGTAATAATTTTACCTGAATAAAGCCACAGTGTTAAGCGAATAAAGTTATATGAGAATACAGTTAAAATAATACGAGAATAAAGTCGAGGTATTATGAGAATAGTCAACTTTATTCTCGTAATATTATAGCTTTATTTTCAAATTATTACAATGTTACCCTTGTATTATTCTGACTGTATTTTCTTAATATTGTAACTTTATTCTCATAATTTTATTTCTCTATTTTTTATTAGACAAAATTTAAAACCTCTGATTAATGTATTTAAAGTCAACTTACTTTAAAAAACAAACAAAAAAAAGAATTTAAGAGTTTTTTATTTTTATTTTAGATTTTAGACCTTTTAAGGATCTGGTGAACATGAGAATTGACATTTGTCTCACCTGGGAGGCGGCGCACACCTCAAACGCCTTAAATATGACGTCCACCACTCTCTGAGACGTGAGCACGTTTCCTCCGACCACAGCTGCATTCTGGGACGGCTGGAGGATGGAGCCGGGGGGGACGATCACGTTGATCGGCTTCAGACAGCCCTTCATGAGCGAAAAGAGGAAGCGGTTTTTAAAATCGTCCGTTTAGGATGAGTAGTACTATAAAGGCCAAAAATTGAAAGTTTTCCACCTGATTGAGAGGGATGTCCTGGCCGACCATGCAGCGCAGGCAGTAGATGAGAGCGGACAGGGTGATGGCCCGTGGAGCGTTGCAGTTCCCCCACACCTCGGGTCCAGTTCCTGTGAAGTCAAACACGGCACTGCCCTGTAACGGGAAAGATTTATTCAATTGGCCGCCGTCTCTTCGTGTCTTCAGATTATCCTGACAGGACGCTCAGAGTTCACCTCTTCTTCATTAATCTGGACCCGGAGTCTGATCGGTGTCCCGTCGTCCATAAAATCTTCTGATTTCACCTCTAAGCAGCCGCCGGTCTGACGACGCCGGCGTTGTGCGAACTCTCTGAGCATGTCCCTAACGGCCAGCTCAGCATTACTCTGGAACGCAAACGCCACACAGGATTTCTTCGGGTATCGTCTTGTATTTAGCCTCATATTTCACTGTCAACTCTGCTGTAGTCGAGGTAGGAGAGTTTGATGGTACACTGCTGTTCTAATCATTAAAAACAAACTTCAACTTTAGATTGGGGAGGGCCAACAATTGCTTTTTTGTTTTTGTTTTCCACAAAGGAAATAACAGAAAATATTTTCACAAAGTGGCTTTAATTCCAATCGTCTGTTTTGTGAGTTGAATAATGGGCCAGGCTACAAACAATTTTGTGCATTTTTACTAACACTGCAAAAATACCCTTTGTTTTTTTATTTATTTTTCTTTGCAATGTTGGCAGTCAGTCAAAACCAAACATGGCTTGCTTAGATCAATGGCTATTCAGGTGTTGGGCCGGCCCAGTCAAAGTCCACACTTGAACTAAACTGGCAATCTGTTGAACTGAGATTAGAAGTGACCACTGGACTCAATATAAAGTCGACAAAAAGTGCCAAGCTGGTAAAGACATTTGACTTGCGGCTCCCTGTGAAAGGGAGCCGTGAAAGGAAGCTGAATTCAAATATGCACTATATATTTCAGAGTTTTCCCAAATTTTCCCAAAGATTTAACCAGTGCTCTCTTGGTCATCCCAGCAAAGGCCTACCATCTTGTTTTACGGTTTCTATTTATTTGTTCTTTAAATTCAGGTCAACTCACAGAACGAATGACTGAAATAAAATACTTTTGAAATATTTTCTATTCTTAGCAACAAAGTAAGTGAGAAATTAGGGGAATTGGATTTGGTAAGATATAATTATGGATTCGAGGTTTCAGTGGCATCCACTCTGAACCTTTCTATTGACTTGCAGGAATGTTTACCTGGATGTATCCCATGTAGGCCTGGACCACGTCTAACCCATAGCAGTCGATCAGCTCCCCCACTAATTGGCTGCCCCTCTGGTTGGCTGCCACCTGAGCCCGCAGGTCTGACAGATTGTCATGGAGATTACGAGTCCCAGAGCAGCCGGGGTGCTGAGCCGGAGCCATCAGAGCTTCGGTGACGGCTGGCGTGGTGACAAGTGGAAGAGAGAGGGCCGGAGATAAACTCCGCAGGAAAACATCCGTGTTCTAACGGACAGAGGAAGACATGTTGGTCTTTTTACCTTCTTCCTGGAAGACTCCCCCAGTGACGAGCTTAAATGAAACAAAGACCGCCCCCTCCTGCTGAAGGGAAGTGGAGTGGGGGGGCATGGAGCCCGGAGTGATGCCTCCGATGTCGGCATGATGCCCTCTGCTGGCCACAAAGAACACAGGCCTGTGGACTCCTTTTCGAAACACCTTTGGGTTGAGAGACAGAAGAAAGACAATAGTGAAGAGAGGACAGAAATGGGGACCAATGAGGACATTGGAGAAGAACCGAAAGCCTGACCGGTGTGATGACGGTCAAGTCTGGAAGGTGGCTGCCGCCAGCGCACGGGTGATTACTCAGAATCACGTCTCCTTCTCTCAGCTCGTTTCCCAGTGATCGGATCTTCACAAAAGGAAGAAAAAAAAAATAGACATAGAGCACCCAGACTTGGTGTTAGTTTGTGCACTCAGGAGTGGTCCTGCTTATCACCTGGTACTGGACGGTCTCCTGCATGGCCCCCAGGTGGACAGGGATGTGAGGCGCGTTCGACACCAGGCCTCCGTCGGGCCCAAACACGGCGCAGGAGAAGTCCAGACGCTCCTTGATGTTCGTGGAGATGGAGGTCCTCTGGAGGACTCTGCCCATCTGCTCTGCAACGGTCCGCAGGACAAACATACTGGTCAGCAACTTTCCTTCACAATCTCAACTCTAATCCCTCCGAACACTTTTTTGAAAGTGCCGTCCCACCCGCTATGCTCATGAAGCGGTGGGAGAAGATGGAGAGCTGCACGGTGTTGAGCTCAGTGCCGAGGGCGCACTGAGAGTCTGAGCCGACAGCCAGGCAGACGTCGCCGTCCTCCGTCAGGCAGGCCTCGCAGTGCGGCTCCACCAGGATGGTGCTGACAGGGATGAAGGAAGAGACGGTAAACTTGCAGCAAATTAATTTAATTATTAATGAATTTAAAATCTACAAGCGCAAAGATTTTCATATTCTGAACTCAAGAGCAGAAAAAAAAACAAACAGATTTAGGCATGAAGTATTTACGTCATCCTCACAGTAAGATTATTCTCACAACAATCGGAAACTTTTTTTCTCATTGTCATAATGGAGAATTTCAGTGTGAATAAAAATACTAATTAAACAGAAATAGGTTTCACCAATTTTATTTCTGCAAAATTTACCAACTGTAAACTGCTTGTGTCTAAGCAGACAAGCAGTATTTCAAAAGAGCTTATATTTTATAAACAATCTTTAATTTAGTGTTAAGAGATGCGCGTTTTTTTCTGGTATCTAACTGCATAAACACCCAATCGATGTTCCTAATTGAAATTTCGAATTGAAGTTTAGACTCAGAATCTTCACTTCAACTAACACCTCGGTGAAACTTGCTGGACGGTAACCAGACCACGTCTAGAGAAAGGCTCGCCTGTTTTTGTCGATGATGATGGCCGGTCCTTGGATGCTTTTGCCACATGGAAGTTCCTCCCACAGAAACACACTGGTGTCCATGTAACCGTCTTCAAAGAAGCACTTGGTCATCTGCAGAGGAAGACGACAGAACACCTTCGGTGCGAAGTTTTAACAGCGAGGATGGCTTCTATTATGTGTGTGTGTGTGCGTTCTCGACTACCATGACAGGTTTGGCTTGTTTGTGTCCCGTCTTTGATTTATGCATGGAGCTGATCCCAGATTTTCCGCAGCCTCTCACTCTGATGTCGTCCACCATGATGGCTCTGTCTGGGATGGTGAACCCGAACTCCTTCAAATAACTGCAACAAAAACAAAACATGACGTATTCCTATGAAGAAAAGTTAGCTGATTTACACTAAAATAGGCAAAAAATAAAGGCTCTCAGCAGACCGTTTGGTGAAGGCGCTGCTGAAGTCGCCCGCTCGACAGGAGTGGGCGTTTACGGGGTAACCGTCAGCCGTAACCATGAGGGCGCAGTCGGTGCCTTCGTAACGCAGGTGGAGAAAAACCTCAGTAGATATCTGACCACTGGGGACGACAAGAGAAGACCCAGAGAGTTGGATTATGTTACTGTCCACGGTCAATGTTAATCAGAAACAGTGAGGAAACATTTGAGGTAAAGCAGTGGTTGGAGGTACTTCTACACGAGTCACATTGGTTGTCACAAAATGCTAAAAACAAGAAAATATTGTGGCAGTTCTCTTAAAAACATGCATATTTTTCAAATTGATGCCAATTGCTTTTAATTATTGAGAAAAATATTCTTAGAAAAAACATTTTGAATCTTTAGCTGATGAAGGTTCAGAATAAGGAAAATGAAGTAATAGACTCTTCCAGTGAACATACCAAAGTACAACTCCCCAAACCTTAAAACTCTTTATCGACTTGAGTCTTAATCAGATATGGCATTTTCATTAATCTTTAAAATATATTTTTAATTTTTACCCTATTTTATAATGAAAAACAGAAATCATATATTGTATTTTATTGCAATAATGCAACCAAATGAGGAAAAGATTCTCAATTTAGTCCTCTGCAGTAGCTTTGCTGCCAACTAGTGGTTAAAGTTGTGATATCGTGAAAATGTTAGAAAAAACATAAAAATATAAACAGCTCAGATTGCAGGTGTGACGGATAGGCTATGATGAAAAGGGATGAACGTTTTAACCTTTGGCGCCTGGAGGGTTCGCTCTTCATGTCCAATAAGAGCAACATCCCCTTTTCTTTATTTTTTATTTTATTTTTTTAGGAAGAAAATCTATCGGTTACTTTCACTTGCTGAGTTCTGTTGGCTCTGACCTCGAGAAGCCGCGTGCGGTCAGCGTGTCGCGGCAGCGTCTGCAGAGTTGCTCCATCCTGCGGTCCAGTTCGCTGAAACACCGCTGCTCGTACTTAAGAGAGCACGGCTCCTGCACCTCTTCCACGACGTCTGCCAGGGCAAGACCGTACGCCGACAGCACGCCGCTGTACCTGAGAGCAGCACAATCCAGTTTAAGCAACAAAATATTCTTGCACAGCAACTTAACCCTCCTTTTCCCCTTATTAATCTTACTTATGGATGAAGACGGTCTTCATTCCCAGAGCTCGGGCTATAGAGCAGGCATGCTGACCTCCTGCACCGCCGAAACACGCCAGCACATGCTGAGACGTGTCATGACCTTTGGCCTGTTAGGTTTGGAGAAGAGAAAAGGTAACACAAGATTGCTTAAAATCAGTAATCCCAAAATACCAAAGCGCTGTAATAACATACTTGCGTCAAAGCCCTGATTGGTCGACACATCGCCTCGTTAGCAACACGAATGAATCCCATCGCCACGTCTTCCACGCTCATTGTGGATTGGCTGATTGGCACCATGTTGTTCTGAGAGTTTGTGCCGCCATTGGCCTTTATTTGAAAACATAAATAATAAGTCTTTTATGTCACTGTTTGCTGTTAGCGATACTAAAATGAAAACCTCTAAGTAATGGCACCTGGCTTTGGCTTGCAGACAGGAAGTTGTTGATCTCCTCAGTAAGACGACGGAAATGCGTCATGGTGTCTTCCAACGACAACGGTTCGTTCTCAGCGGGGCCGAAGATTTTAGGAAAGAATGGAGGAAGAAGGCGACCCAGAGCTAAGTTAGCATCGGTCACAGTCAGAGGGCCGCCTGCAAAATACATTTAACATTTTTTTAAAAACGGGGGAAAAAATCTGACCAGAAAATGGTTTACATAAAGGCATTATTACAAAAATATTTGTTTGCGTTATATTCTCATCTTCAGCTTTGTTTTTCTCTTTTGACTTTTACTTATTCTGCAATATGAAAGTGAAAATTGGTTGTTGATCATAAATCTAGTTGGTTCCTAAAAGATGTCCTCTTTATTCCTGCTTTATGACTAACACATGATACAAGATTGAGTTATGAAAGCTGAACTTGAGCCCATTTTTCTCCTTTATGCACATTAAGCGGATTACTAATTCAGAGGAGGCTGGTGGGACAGAAAACCCCAGCTCTGTTCCTCTGGATTATTGCCTAACATCATGGAGATTAAAAGGGTGAGGTATAAAGGGAAGATTCAATAAAGCCAAAAAATGAAACGCATTCATGTTTATTAACTGATTGTGGAGGTGAGACACCTGTCTGTAATCTCACCTTTCCTGTAACAGGCCGGTCCTGGATGTGCACCTGCAGATTCTGGTCCTACGACAAACATCCCTGATCTGGGGGGAGAGGGGGAAGCAAAGAAATCATGAACATGCCAGGGAAATGCAAACAAGAATTCATAAGACTTCATTTGAAAGACGAAAAAAATCCCTCTTTCAAGGGTAAGTTCACCTGAAAAAGAGTTGGGACCCCCCGCCCGCAGCCACGGTGTTGATGTCCAGCTGAGGTGCTTGCAGGGTGACTCCAGCCGTCGTGGCCTCAAACACGTGTTCGTACTGGCCAGCATAGCGGCTCACATCGGTGGAGGTTCCTGCCGGGAAACACAAAACATCCATTTTTATTTTAGATTTACTGTGAAAAAAAACAGTCAACATGTCATTGGAAGGTGGAAGAAAAAGAATATAATCTCACACACTCACCACCCATATCAAAGCCAATCACGGGCTTCTTCTCCATTTGGCTGTAGGAGGTGACGGCGTATCCCACCACGCCCCCTGCTGGGCCAGAGAGAATGGCTCTTGAGCCGCAGAACTGCTCCATGGGGGTCAGACCGCCATCTGACTGCATGAACAACACATCTACATCCTAAAAAAAAGGGTTAAATTAGGGAATTCAGGCATAGAAATTTGAACTGAAATACACAAAGTAGTTTTTTGATGCTGAAAATCTAAAAAATAAAAAATAAGAAAAATGAAAACGTACCTTCAGGCCACCTTTGAAGCCGGCAGTGAATCCTTTTAAATACTGATGAATTTTGGGTGTGAGATAGGCGTCCGCGCAGACCGTGTAGCCCCGAGGGACCGCCCGCACCATCGGCATGACCTCGCTGGAGAGAGACACCTGAGTGAAACCCAGACGACGGGCGAGAGAGCCCACCGCTTTCTCATGATCGGACCAGCTGAAACGAGCAGAAGATAAAAGTTGGCTCACTGTGTTTGTCTGATCACACTTTCAGACATATTTGAGTGAAGAATGAGATAAAAGCAAAGGGCGTCTCACCCATTCTACTCTTTTACATCAAAAACTTTAAGATAAATCAGACCGTTTCCTCAAACGCAAATAGATTTCTGGGAATAATTGGGGGTGACGTCTACACGAAGAAAGAGAGGCAGGAGAGGAAAACATGACCTTTCACCCAGAAGGTTGTATAAGCTTCACAGAAAGCAGACGAGTGCTTATTGGACATACAGAGCAACTCCCACATAAGAGAAAGAGAGATCTCAGGGACTTATAATCACATATCAGCTGTTAAGAAAATAGGAATTTAGAAGCAGAGAAAATGTGGTGAAAAAAAAGAATTTCGATACAAAAGAACAAGAGCTCAATCTGAAATCTAAACGAGGACGACGTTTAGATTTGTTGATGTACTGACGTGTACGAGTGGAGGAGGAGGACGGCGACGCTGGAGATACCGCGGGACAGAACTCCTCTCAGGTCCTTTTCCACTTTTTCCAGATCCAGTTCCTGCCACACCTCCAGAGAATCACCTGTACTGCCTCAAGAAACAAAGATTAAACAGGCTGTCAGCGTGTTTTGTGCACCAATCAGTTTTGTTTGATCTTTAGCTGGGGTTTAGATAAAAATCAAATATCAGTATATTTTTTTTCATCAGTATATCAAATACTGATGAAAAAAAGAGGAATGTTTGAACTTTGCAAACACCTGTTACAAATCGTTTGGGATCTTTCCTGGGCAGCTGGCAGTCGTCTTGACAGAGGACGACTCGCTCATCCACCTCTATGACCTCCTCATACAGCACATCAGGGACGGCGACCTCCTGCATGTGAAGGTCAAGCAGATGTACTGAAGAGAGGAACCAGACAAATCTTGTGAAACACTGAGAGCACAAGACTGAACATGAACTGGACAGCATTTTAGATTTCCATTCGCAGTTTTGCAACAATGGCTTAATAAGTGGCCCTCAGAGTTAATGGTACAACGGGTCAGGGGGACAAACTCCAGGGACTACCATGATGCTCTGCAACATAATACCTAAACCTTGTGCTGCAGAAACAGAAGTCTAACTTAGTAGGAGAGTTTAAAGAGGAAATATTATAGAACAAGAAGACAAACGTTACCAAATCAAAAAGTTTGGGCCTGGCCTGTGTGCCAATGTGCAGCAGGTCCTTGAAGCCTTTTGTGACCAGCAGTGCGGTCCGTTCTCCTTCCCTCTCCAGCAGGGCATTGGTTGCCACGGTGGTGCCCATTCGGATCCAGCCAATCAGGGCGGTGTCAACAGGCTGGTCACGAGGGAAGAGTCGCCCCGATTCCTGCAGTTGAAAGTCACGCAAATATTTTAATGGCAGTTGTTAAGAATGTTAACAACTGCAAAATAATAGTATTTCAGAAGCAACCTTACATTTCGGGAGATTAAATCCACATAATTTAATGTTTTGAAAAAAGAACCTATTCTGGTCTGATGGAAGCAAAATTAAACTGTTTGCTTTACATCGGAAACAAAACATCGCTCATTGTTCTATGCACACAGTAAAACATGGTGGTGGCAACATTATGAGCAGGGACAGGACAATTTCCCTGCAAGAGCTACAACAGAATTGGCCCAGTCAAAGTTAGGACCTAAATTCCACTGAGAAGTTGTTCACATTCAATCTGGGTGAGCTTTGAGTGGTAACAAGATGTGAAAGAGTTCAAGCATTATAAGCAACTTTGGAAGATGCTGAATGTTTACATAAAACTTTCTTACCTCCTCCAAGACCCTGCGGATGCCCTCAGTGGGAGCGTCTTTGTAGTTCTGTGGGTCTCTGGACAGCAGTTTGAGGACTCTCTCGCGGCCATCAGGCAGGCGCGCAAACACATCGGTGAAGGTGCCACCTCGGTCTATGGCGAAGTCAAACTTCCCCTCAGTCTCAGCCATAGTGAGGAAAATGAAAAATGCAGCTGCTGATCCTCAAGGAACTGAAAAAGCAAAACAGAATCAGACGTAGACACGTTTCGTTCACACGCCCAGGTTTCACCGGTGTTTGCAGTCAATTACTACCAAGTTTACGCAACAATCGTGCTGGTTGTGTTGCTTTGTTCCATGACGTTTCATTTCCAGGTTTTGACCTCTGACACATAAACATTCCTGCACTTTGCACTGCGGGCATCTGAACTACAATTCAACACAAGATCCACACTTTCTCCGCTCGCAGCCTCAGATTAGAAGCGTGGAGAATCGGGGGTCCAGGCTGCTGCTGCTGTCTCTTTAAAACTGTGTGACTGTCAGTCGTGCAGTTAACACTCGACAAACCAGAAATGCAGCAGATTGTGCGTGACGCCTTGTGACACCGCAGCAAAGGAAAGCCTGCAAACCGCATGCACATTCATGCACAGAGCCCATGAAGAGAGTCAGCTTCTGCTGTGCACGTCCACACTGAATCCTCTGTTTGTCTCAGCTGACGTTTCCATCAGCGGGTTCGGAACAACAAGCCCAAACAGTGCCGGGTGTTTTTACCCACCTGTGTCCGTCGGTCGCTGCAGGATCTGTTCCTGTGATAATCTTCGGTAATCCGGTGACGATCCGATCCGGTCCGATCCGATCCTCCCTGGCCCTCTCTCCGATCGGTCCCGAAAGACACGTTTGAGGGAGTCGTTTTGAGCGGGTTCGGAGGTTTGACTCCGCCTCCGTGGGAGAGGACGAGCTCCAGGATCTGAAACCCGACCTGCCCCAAGAGGGGCCACTGCGATGAGAAACCTCACCGAGCAAGATCGAGCATTCCTGCTGGAAACAAAAATGCTTTGATGCTGCATGTGTAAAACAGGAAAACAGCACAAAGCACACAGTGGCTGAGAGATCACACCTAAAGAATAATAGAGGGATGCATCAGTATGTGGCGATAAAAAGATGATGAAAAAAAAAAAAAAAAAAGAAAAACACTTTTGGAACATAACCAGAAATATGCAAATGACCCAAAATTTGATTTCATTTTTGAGATAGCATGACTGTATGATCCACATATTTAGTTCCAAAACATAATCTGAAATATGTCGAAAGCCGCACTGTTGTCAATTGATCCAAATTGCTCCTCCATTGCTCAACTTTTCAGATCTCTTAATCGACTTCATTTTATCCCCAAAACCCAATAAATTGATGTCTGATTCTATGTGCCAGACATATTGTAAAGTGGCAGAATAATGTAGTTTTAAGTAAAAACCTTCAAATTGGCCTCTGTCTCTTTAATAAGAGACAGAGACAAGCTTCTTAAAGAGATAGATCTGAGTTTGAGCGCTCCTGAATGGCTGCAACAGGAGATTCAACAATTTCTGAAATATGCATAATAGAATGGAAGCAACATTCCTGTGTTTGTAATTCTTATTCCTTATTATATGTAAAAAAAATTGTAATTTTTTTTACATAGGCTATAATAATCCCCTTAAATGTTGGAACAAAACTTAAATGATCTGAACACATCTATATTTGACTTATGAAAACATAACAAATATTTTGTTGTTAGTAAAATGACTGAAGAATAATAAAAACAAGATGTGCACAATTTATGGAATGGCTTTAATGTGACAGGCCACAAAGTTCTCCATTATTGAGATGCTTGAAGGACAATCATTTATGTTAACATTTTCAGCCCCTTACACTCTGATCCCCTTATAATTCAGAGTAATCAACTGTGTCAGAAGTCATCTTATGCAAACACAGTTCGTACTGAGGAACACTGCAAGTGTCAGGAGGCCAAGACAGTAGCAGAGTCGGTGTGACCCAGTATTTCTGGCGCTCAGTACAGGCTACTCTCAGTGCAAGGTCATGTGCTGCACTGAGATAGATGTTTAATAATTCTGTCGGGAGGCGTTAACATCTTTCACACACACACAGAGCCCAGGGAATCACTGACACTCTGCCTTTCTCATGTGTAGGTAATTATAGATAATGTAACTAAAAAATCTGTATAGAATTTGTTAAAGACTTGGTGTTTGTTAGACAGAATAAAGAACAGATACAATTTAATTCTTTGCTTCTAATTTTGCAAAAGAAATCAAGGTTGTGAAGAGAAGAAAAAAAAAATCTGGATAATTTATGCAGAGCAGTGTTGCACCTTCTGAAACGTCTGCTGCCACCCAGAGGATGTAACACCATCAAGTGGACCAACAAAATACGCAGACTGAGTTTAATGCATATTTATTGACAATTAAGGCACAAGGATACATCAGAGTGCTGACATGGAGCAACAGAGCTTGTCAGTTCTGGACAGTAGTGTAGTAGAGACAATAGGCAGTGCATTCATGCATGATTATTTGATTTAGAGAATGATGAAAAAAAAAATTCCAAAGATATAAATCTTTAAAAAGCTGTAAAACGAGTATGCACTCTACTACATTTAAGCTGTCCATCGGGAATATTAGCTTATCAATAAAAGGTGTATACATTGACTCTCTTATTGAACATAAGAAGTTAATAGTGACATATTTTGATCACCACTTTTTCTCAGGTTATGTAATAATGTAACAACCAACCAACAAAGATCAGTTTGAAAGGAGGAGGAATTTAAATACAGTCAGTCTGAAATGTAGTTCAAGGTGAACCTTGAACTACATACAATTCAGTCAGTATTTCACATAGACACACACAAGCATACTGATGATGGCTGGTTTGTAACACTTCACACTCTTAATGCAGAAAAAAAAACACATCCACAACAAAACAACAGCAAAAAAAAAAAAAAAAAAAAAACCCAGATTCATTCACATTTTCTGGAAAACCTCAATCAGTGACAGCCACTTCAGTTTAATACGAAGCATCCCAGAGCGTGGCATCCAAAACGAACTCCAGTGCACTTGAGGTCTGTACTGTGAGGGATCATCAAACCTAGAGTTTCTTCAAATAAACATGTTAAGTTAACTCGAAATTTTCTGATTCTACGTGTGAGTGGTTTCATGCAAATCAGGAGTTTGAAATTAATTGACCAATCACAGAGAAGAGGTAAGCTGTAGAAATGTTTCTGAATGCTTCCATTAATAGGCCGAACTGATAACATGTCCAGAAATGACTGCCAAAGCATAAAAAGGCTCATAAGCTCTAACAGTTGACAAGAAAAAAAAAACCTTAATGAATGTAAAGCTAGAGAAGCATCAATTTTATTGACCTATAATATGGAAAAGCTTCCTTAGCAGCAAATCATGCAGAGAAAAAAAACACATTTCTTCACTTTCAAGGCCTCAGTTTTGTTGAATCTGGAGATGTAAGATCACTTCTGCATTTGTTTCCTGGGAAGCAGACCAGGAAAGAAGAGCCATAGCTTTGTAACACAAAAAACTCCCAAACTCAGCATGGAGTCACCTTAACAAAACATTGACAAGCCTTTTGGGGCAAAGCCCGCACACCAAACTCTGAAAAGGCACCACGGGCATTCAAAGCTATAACTCCTTTGTGCTACACTTAACCTCACTCACCGACTTACTTTCGGGTAAGCCAGGGAATGCTTACTGATTAGAGATCTGCAGAGAGAAAAGCCAATATGAATTCAGGTGCAACACTGGTTATCTTATACAGTTTTGGTTTAAGCGTGAGTCAGTTGTATGCTTGAACTCTTCCTCCTGTTATGAAACTCGTGTATTTCCAGAGATTTCCAAGAATCCACATCCTGAGTGTTAGTGACAGTTTTGGCATTTAGGATGACATTTCTGATTGTTGACATTGCAGCGACATCCTCCACTGGTGTCTCCAGGACCCTTCAGGAGTAAAATTGAAAAGTTAAAATGATATTTAAGCCATATTGCAAGCAACCACAAAAAAGCAGCATCATGCAACTTTTAGGACTTTTATCACAGAGCAAGGGAAAGTCATCATTTCTTACCTTGGGTCCCCAACGAGGCCCTCTGGTTACCCAGCAGATCTCAGTGTGACAGACAGTGCAGCGCAGCCAATCACATCCATCCCTCTTTTGCACAATGATGCCACACTGAGGACAGTGCATGGCCTCCCCTGACTGCACAAGGGTCTGATTGTGGAGCAGACAACGAGAGCAGAGGAAAACAAAGCGAGAAAAAGAAACAAGAATGTGGTTGGTGGAAGCCGATACAAATTCCTTTCTCTGTTTACAAATCCAGTGTTTCACTCTTTAACAGTGATGCTACAAATTGATTACTCTTATGTTAGGCAGTCTGTTTAAAAAACAAATAAACAACAACAAAAAAAAACAACTACATGTAAGAGTGATTTGAAAAGCTTTAAAGTGTTATTTTGCTGCTGACCTTTAGCAGATGTGTCGTTCTTCTGGCAGCAGAGTCGTTTATGGCTCGGGCTGCGAGGTCGTCTTGGTATTGTTTACAATTCATTCCCTCATGAATGGCCTGACAAGGAAAAAACATGCGAGAGTCTAAGTCAAATTATTATTTTTAGAGGTTGTAAGAGTAAAGTTTTATCAAACAAGACAAAGACTGAACTATTTGGGTACAATGAGAGGAAGAATTTATAGGGGATTTGTGTGAACATCTTGAAATAATAGTAGTTGTTTGCTATTATTTCTGAAAGGTTGAAATATACAGATATTTCAGCCTTTATGTTTGAATTTCACCAAGTATGAACAAAAAAACCCTCACTAATGCACAGTCTTATTGCATAATTATTCTTTCTTAATAAGACAAACCCAGTTCAAATTCATTCGTGGCTCCCATGAATTGACAATAACATTAGTGCTTGACTGGCATTGTCACTTCTCGTTTGAAGATTTACTACTTATAAGTGTGACCTGTGTGCTTCTCACCTTGCAAATGAGACAGTTGTGTTTCCGACAGACAGGACAGTGGAAGACATTGACTGTGTCCTCGTACACACACCATCCCAGGCAATCCGGAGTTGCACAGTGATAGCTGCCCTCGCAGCGAGACTCTGCTACAGAAAGGCTTCTCTGCAGCCAGCGCTCATATTCCTCCGGAGGCACCAACTAGAAAGGCATACAGTGGGAGATTACGAAGGAGTATGATTTAAAAGGTGTGCTGTCGAGAATGCTCTAACGAGGCGCCTTGGTGCAACTCACAGCTCGGATCTCTCGCTCCTGCAGGGCCCATGGACAGGCGTACGTATCGTCTCTGTATGGACAGGAAACCTCAGGCTCCTCGCAGAGCATGATGATGGAGCGCAAGCACTCTCTAAGCGCCCGCACACAGAAACAGACAGGGTTCAGTTATCCAGAAAAAATACTGGGTAGTGTCAAATCCACATCTCCCCACTCCCACATCTCACTTGCAGAAACAGTGGAGACACTCTCTCAGCAGGACACCTTCTCCCGACTGCAGGTCCACGAAGCAGATCTTACAATCCACAGGCTCAGGATTAGGCACCAGGTCCTGACCGTCCACCTTCACCATCCGGTCAAAGTTCTCTCTTCGCTCCTGCTCCTTTGCCTGAAGGAATTATAGTTTACATTAGCACTATTTTTAATCACACTACTAAGCAATTTAATAGGCGAATCAAATCACGTGCATCTATCCACCCATCAGTCTGACAAGAATTCTTTTCACCATTGACCGATCTATTATTAAACATTCATAACATGAGGCGTTAATTGATTTTTCAGGAAAGGTACAACTACAAGCTACTGCTTTTGCCCCTCAAAGAAGTTTGTAGTCAGTCGAAGATAAGGCATGTCCTTTTTGCCCCAAGTAACCCAAAGATAAGGGTTCGAGGTCACAAGTGTGCAAACATTGGAGAATTAGGATGCTACAAGTTCCATCGACTTGTGCATCTGTGTCGTAACTGTGACATCCAAAATGGCAAGACTGGCCACTGTTCAAATGTGTTTTGTTGTGGCTTTTGAATCCAGAGCAAAAACACATGTATAGATAGTACAGTGACACAAAAATGATTTAAATCCTTCCCTCCTTCTAAATCAAAATGTCACATGAATCCATAAATTGTGAGGCATATCGTTGAAGTCCACTTGGATGTGGGCTTAGCTGAAGTGTGGATTAAAGGCGCAGAAGGCAGTGTTTAAGTCCACTCCGGAAAACTGGAACGTACTCAAACCATTTGAAGGACACAAGGGTGGAAGTGGAAGTTTTGGGACAAAGCCTAAAGTTCCAACTAACATGGACGTGTCTTTGAACATGCCGACTACAAAAAGTCTCTTCTGGAAGTCCATATGACTCTAATAAGAATGCTTTAACTCGTATCTGATACACACAAGGCGTCTGTTTTCAAGGATTGAGTACAAGAGACATTTTTTTTTAAATCAGGAAAAAAAAAATCCTCTAAAGTCTTAATATATAATATTGTGGCAAACAGGATTAAATCTATGCTCTATAAATGATACACTTCCAGTTTTCTTGTAAAGGGAACTTAATAGACAAATTAAGAACATGCTACTGTTAATCTTCTCGTTCACACATCAAGTCCAAACACACTCAAACATTTAAAACCTTTTATTTTCAGATGTATCACAAGGTAATTACAACCACAGTGCAAAATCTGGTTAATACATTCAACATACTGGCAACAAGAAGTGCCAAGGAGCTCAGAAAAATATAACTTGATGTTACTCATCAGCATTACCGGTCAAGTCTGACTTTAAGGCAGACAAATTTATTTGCACATCACCTGCACTACGTTCTACAAACATTAAAACAAAAATAAAGTTTAGATATGCTATTTTTGGTAATAAACTATATAAAAGCTATTAAACTTCAGCAAAAGCAACAACAAAACCGTATTTTTACTCAAGTATGAATTCATATACACATTAACCGGGTTCGGCATCATTACTGATTCGCTGTTAAGTTGCTAGTCTGTTATCTGCAGTGGAGTGTGCATGTGTCAGTATGTTCAGTAGTCCTGGTCCAGGTTAAACAGCAGTGAGTTGTTATGAGGCCCAGCACTCCTCAGCGTCTCTCTTCTCCCTTTCTCCTTCAGAAAAACAGAGACAAAAGAGAAGAGAGTCAACCTGAGTGAGTCTGAATGTTTCAGTTCCACTGGCAGCCTTCAATCCATTTCAACTTTTTGCATGTCTTTTGGATTACTTTGAAAAGTGTGTTTGTTTGCTTACATATTAATCAGCAGGTCATCTGCGAAGCCATTGACAACCATGCATAGCTGTTATAACATGTTTCTGCATGCAGACAACTGCAAGAAAACACCATTTAAAGATCATTTTCCTACCTGCTGATACTGTCTGATTGACTCCTTCTCCTGCAGGATCCTTCTGAGCTCCAGAGCGTCAGGCTGGTGTCCTCCAGGGATAATGTAGTTCTCAGGCCGGTTTGTACTGCAGATCTCGCAGCCCGGCCGTGTTGGCTTGTTGATGTACGTGCAAGATGGACAAGACCAACCCTGAAGCAAAGTAATTAAAACTGTATTTTTAAAACACAGAAAACGTATGAAGACTCACCTACACTGCAATGACAATATTTAAAATCGAGACGATTCACGTTGGTTTGGAAAATACCACTGTGACAGCTCTTAAATTGCTGCATTTCCGTAAGCTCTAACAGCTGCTAATGTTAACACTTAGTCTGAAACAGATTACAGATTCTTTAAAAACGAAAATTTAGGAAACATTGATGCCATTCCCTAAAAATATATAACTGTAAAAAGAACGTTTTTCAAATGTTTTTAATTGTATCTGTACCACAGTAAAAACCACAAGGACGAATATTCTATACATAATACAGATTCTTTAAAATAATTTAAATAACTAAAATATTCTGTTTGTAAAAACAAATATGTGGCTAAATTCTCATCTTCTGATGCCAATACTGTGCCGTCTTGAAGATTACTTTTCAAAATCCATAACCTGCTAAAGTTAATGTGCCCAATAATATTAAGTCTCCTGGTGTTTTGAGCATTGAAGCCTGTGATACTGAATAACATGATTCTCTTAAATGCGTATCGTCTCTTCTATTACTTTTGCAGATACTATTTACTTAATAAGTATAACACAATTCTTTCACTAATTATATGCAAGTCACTCAGGCACAATTAATATGTTAAATCTTCCGGTCACCTGGAAAGATGCAAAATGCTGCAGACTATGAAAGGTTTAGATTTTACAGGAACTGGGAAGTGTCTTACCTGGGTAGAAGGTGCGTTGGGATTGAGTCGAGGCATTTCGAATTGATCTCTAATATTGCTGATGTTCGGTCTCTCTGCAGGAGAGAGAAAAGGATTTTGCAAATGACTTCAAGTTTTTAAATAATCTTAACAATGAAGCCTCAAGTAAGCATGACAAAATAAAATGAGCTCAGATTAAAACTTTTTGATGTGCAATTTGGTTTACAAAAACTTCACAATCCATGTATTTACTGTTTTGCTTGTGTGTGCTTTTTATTTATGGCTTTATTTATTGTTTGTGGTTGTTGTGTTTTATTTTAGTTACTTAAATTTCCAGTTGCGGTATTCTTTACAAAAGTGAAAGTTAATTGGTCTTTGAGAGGATGAACTTGAATTATTATGCCATTATCAATACATTACTATACTAATTCATAATCTAGTGCAAGTGATGTCCTGACCAAACAAGCCCAGGTTTTTCACCCTTTAAAATAATGCTAAAAGTAAAAGAGAGACCGTATTGGCTGCCGCAGGTCCTTGTCTATTTCACAGAGCCTTCTTTCATCTTGTATTGGACTGGATCGTAGCATGCGTAATCACCATGATCAGGCAATCCATATCTAGTGTAGCAGAGACTTGTTCTTACCATTATTGCTGGTCCTGCGCAGTCTTGGAGGTAGAGTGGAAAATGGCCGCCCGTCATGGGAGAGGGGTCCGTTTGTGAAGGCAGCAGGGAGAGAGGGGTTTTGAAAAGAAGATGGAGGGCTGAGAAGGAGGGCGCTCTCCTGGTCTTTCTGTAGGACCTGGACGGTCAGGCGAGAGTGGCGGGCTGACAAGAGGTACAAGAAGGCCGTGTCACCATCCTGACGGATGCCGTACGATGCAAGAGTTCGGAGGTCGGTGCACAAACACTGGCCGATCACCCAACGCTGGACCCGCGGGTGGAAGCCATATTCGAGAAACATCTGGAAAGGAGCCAAAGCCGACAGAAAAATGTTATTATTAACCGTTAGATAGAGATAGAGAGATGTGATGTATCAGGAGAAAGCGATGAGTTTGATGCAAACCTGCTGCTTCAGCGACGCAGTAGTCATGTGAGGAAAAACTTTCACAGTGATGCAACAAGACGAGGAGGAATCCTCGACAATAACAGCTAAACTGTTTTTACAACAAAGCAAACGACAGATAACTGATTAATAACCGTGGTTTCATACATCAAATTATCATCACAGTCGACTTACTTTATTTCAGTTTCTTCATAGGTTTTGGTGGAGGGCTGGATCTTCAGGGGTGCCTGTCTGCGGGCGAGTGAGGCGGCGAAGACAGAAGCGCTCTGCATGTCCCCTGCCTCGATGGCTTTTTTCAGCTCTATGCAAGCATCCTCTAAACATGAAACGCAGACATGAAGAGTGAAATGAAGATAGGAGCAGATGAACAGATATTTACACAAACTGGACACATTTTCACTTTGGCACACCTGTTTGCTGTAAAGCCGAGGTATTCTGGAGATGGAGGCCATCGAGGAGGTGCTGTAGACCGTTTTCCTGAGGTGTGGCTGAAAGGATGGACAATGTGGAGAGGAGACAGTCAGAACAAAGTAAAGAGAAGTAAAAGGAAGCAACAAATACATGAAAGCTAAAAGTCAAATAATGTACATCTGGTCATCAGATTTTTATCTGTATAAAAATCCTGTATCATTTTCCTTCACTCCTAACTGTGTGTTGGTTTATCACATAAAAACCGAGAAATCAAGGGATTTTAATACTTTTGAAAGCCACCATTTAATATTTACTACTATAAATGTAGCATCTAATTTTCTACAAAAAGTTTACATAAAATTAAGCAACACGTCTGACTATTGCTTCCAATTGTAGGTACTTTAAACTTGGGCTGCAACAAACAAACATTTTAATAATCAATTATTCTATTGACTATTCTGCTGTTTAGCCAAATAATTTTTTTGACACATTCGGCTGATTTTTTATTCGACCACATACAAATATATTAAAAGACACCAACAAATTCAATTAATTTTTCAGATAATTAAATAATTACTTTTATTGCCTGAAATGCAATAACATAGTATTCATCCAGTGTTCTCTTTATCCTTTACATCATCTGCAGCTAAAACAAATACATAAAATTAGACCTTTTTCACTTAATTATAGCTCTTAGTTTGTTACTTTTAGGAAATGGCATTTGAGTCTATCCACTGTAAACAACCGATTTTGACAAAGGGAGAAAACACCGAGCCCTTGCCAATCTGTAATTTCCTCAGAAGCTTGGAGCAACAATTCTCCGTGGAAGAACAGGTTCTTCAAGACGCTTTCAGCATCACAATGGCAGCGTGTGCAGAGACTGACAACTGACCTCGATGTGCTTCTCTCAGCGAGGACATGACCACGGTGGCCCATCCCTCGGCCTCTTGCTCGCTGCTGAAGTTGAAGATGATGCGGTCGCACGGAGGCGCCACCGATATCAGCTCGTGGCACTTTGGCGACTTCACTTCATAATTTATGGACCTTAAGTCAAACTCATTTATGGTCTGCAAACAAGGTGGAAGAGGAAGAGACGATGAGAGATGAACACGTGCACACCAAAACAGAAAGGGAAGTTATTTCCCTGCAATTTTCTAATCCAGTACGTCAACTAAATGTGATTAAAAGGCCTCCACTTTTTTCCATTAAGCAGGCTGCTAATAAATATTGCATAGCTTGGACACTTTCTTGTTATCCTGTGACTACTAATCTCTCAGAAGAATTTATAAGTCCATTTACTATGGAAAAAGAAAATTTTCCACGCCAACAAGTTTATTTTCTTGCAAAATAATGGCTATGCACAAATCTTCAGGCAGCAATAAGTCCTGAGCAGAGATTTAATAAATGAAGTTCAACACAATTAGAGCATAAAATATGAATACCTAAGACTTGTAACTTGAAACAAAGACAGTTTTTCTTAATAATTTAGAGACCACTAGCGGAGGTCTCCATACCAACATTAAGTTTGAAGCACAGACAGATAAAAACACTGACATCATGCTGTGGGGAAAAGGGAAACAGGTCAGAGTTGCCTGGAAGATGAATGGAGCTAAATACTGGACAATATTGGATGAAAACCTGTTAGAAACTGAAGAACATGTGGGAAAGCTCCATATATAAAGCCTGAGGTCAAATGTAATAGCTTAGCGCTACACAATGTATTGAATTGCTCTCACAGTATTAACATGAGCAATACTGTGACTGCCAAGGAATGCTTGGATGAAACATTTGGTGGGATATTGCATTTCAGTTGCCATATATTTGGCCTTTTGGATAGACTTTGCCCTAGTTGCCCAGACTTGCTGTTTAATTTTAGAAGCTGAGATGCTAAAGCTGAGGGTGAGTGGTGGTGGGGCCCCTGTGATTGGTGTGGTTGGGAGAAAAGAAAGAAAAGAGCCAGGAAAATATGTTTTAATTAACACTGTTATGACAATACTAAGAGACAGTACCGTAATTACAGGCTTTACTGATAACGCTCTGTTCTAATATAGATCAAAGCACTGTAGAGTGTTGTATTGGCCCAGTCAAAGCACAGATGGAAAGGTGGGTAAAGTCTTTGTTCACAGAATTACTTTAATAAAAATAAAAAAAAATAGATACTTCAGATGGTTTTAAAAACACGACAGGAAATAGAATAAGGGGGGAAATAGTGTCAGTTAAATAAATAAATATTTTAAATAAAAGTAAGGATATCAATTTGAACATGTATTTATTTACAATTTTGCTTATGTTTAGTGCATATCTGCGGTCATTATACAGTTTTGGTCAGTTCTGTTCCACTATGCAATATGTCATAGTGTTAAAACATTACTTTATTTGTACGTATTTCGTGTGAAACTCTTTCCCGGTCAAAACAAAACCCAAAAGTCCCTCATCGTCACAGTGAACTCACCACACTCAGGCCCGTCCCGCTGATGCTCTGTATCGCCAGCCGGAATTCCCCGGATTTCCCCGGGTCCATGCTCAGTTGCAGGCGGAGTGACTCATCGCCAGCTCCCGGAAGACACAGCGGACGAACCCCGGAATGGCACACCGAGACCCGGACCGACATGAGGACGGTCTGGCAGCCAGGCTGCGCCTGCGAGGCTTCATAGCTGCTGGTGAGGGCGGTGGACTGGTCCGGCGTGAGGCCGGGGCTGTGAGTCCAGCCGCCTGAACTTAGCGACATCACGCCGACAGACTCATGTAGCAAACACTAAAACACGCAGGAGTCCCGTGGGTGTGTAGCCTCCTGTTCCGCGTAGCAAAGAGCTACTTTCACATTTCTCAGTGTACCTTTTTTTTTTTGCCGAGTATTTAACAGGAAGCAAGTGTGTAAAGGCACTTCCAAAAAAGTAAAAAAAAAAACACAAGGTCGACTGTGTTCTTCTTCTCTGTCTTCTTCTTCTCTTCCGCCGAAACTCCGTCCAGGAAGATGTTGTATTTTTATATTGTTCAACTGGATACTTTCACACTAAACAAAGAGCACAGCGACAGTTTGCTACTTCTGAAGCTGTTTTGTTATTGCGTTTGCTTTCTCTTCCTCTGCGCATGCTCAACAGGATGTGTGTATTTTTTTTTCAACACAAGGAGGCAGCAAAACACCCAATTTATAAAACATTTATGGGCATTATGGGTATGGAGGTCCAGAAGGGACATACTTAATAAGTCATCCCGTAAATATTTATGAAGATGATAATTTAAATAAAATTTGAACTAAATAGACCAGATAAATAAACCAATACATAAATAATTAATTATGTTATCAACAATTATACATTCATGATAATTTATTACTTACATAATTAGAGTAATTAAAATGTATATGCAGTTAATGTTAAAACCAAATACAATGGTTTAGCTATTTACCTTTATTGAATTGGTTTATGGCCTTGTGTTCCAGAAAATCAATTGTCAGTCATACCCATCAAAGTCACTCAGTAAGGTTGACTACTGCAATGATGTGAATAAGTAAATAAAGGAGGGAGAAAATCATCAGCCTGTACACCTGTAAAGACTCATCAAACAATGAGGAAAACCTAAGGTTTTTCCAAGTAATGCTTAGCAGCACAACATTCTATTTACAATGTTTTGTGTTAAGGTAACAAAATATACTGTAGCATGAAAGGGGGATCCTTTAAATCACACAGGTTAAAAAGATCAAGTTGTTAATCCATCAGCAGGCATGTTTTTTTTTTAAATCAACAATATGTTCCGCAAGGATATCATTGCTCCTCGATAAGATGCTAACGTTAGAAAGAAACAAGACGATGTTACAACTTAAGTGCATTTACTCTATGCATTCAAAACATTCCTGAAACAGCCTTCTTTTATTATGAATTGCTGTTTACACATTTTTGTAGTGAGTTAGCACTAGGGGCCTTGTCAGATTTCTGATGTTACAACTGTTCACAACAACGAACCAATCAGATATGACCTTTGCTGTTCCAATAAGCACTCCCAGCCTTAAATCAAATCAGCTTTATTATTCAGAGACGTGTGTATGCTGCACATCCCCAGGTCAGTATCTTTAGATTATTGCATCTCTGCTTTGCATATGCTTTATCGCAATATGTTCTCCGCACATGACAAATATACGCCTGTAAAGGAGACGTAAATGTTCCTTGCTAACATCCTCTAAATGCCTGGAGTACACTCCCTACAGTTTGTGTAATTGATGCTTTAAGATAACAAATTACATCTTCCGGCCTTCTCTGTAACCCAGGTAAGACTTCAACCCACGATCCTCAGCTCCAGAGGATGATGCCTTATCCATTAAGCCACTGTACCATACTGCAGCATAATTTTATTCAGGTTCAGAAGTGTGTAAAAGTAAATTATATTTAGTTCACTATGACACAAAACAACACGTCAATATTCAATACAGAAGTACATACTTAATTTAGCAGAATTGTACAGACAAAAAAAAAAATCATTCAATTTGAAATATTTCAGCTCAATATCCGTTTTAAAACAATTAATTCAAGTTCAATTGTTTACACTTGCTCATGCCTTTTGATGTTGTATTGTTTTAAACTAAACGTTAAAGAACTTAAGATTCCAGAATGGTTCCATTATACCTAAATTAATGCTTGTTTTCCTTGTTTTCATCTCCTGACAGATACATTTGTTCAACACAATTATTTCTCTTCCTTGTATCCTCTGGGGTTTTTACTTCACATTAGCACACTGATCACTCATTCCTTTGCCCCACCAGCACCGATAATAGAGCCAGAATCAGACAACTTCTTCATGGATTTGCTCCAATTTTGTTTTTCTTTATCCTTTTTGTTTTTTAAAGCAATAAATGACATCTAAGTTTTGTCACAAGGGCTCTTCAGATGTAGTTGTTGGGACTTTCAGCACCGTTTCTAGCTCTATTGTGACAGATTCTGGTAGTTTGTGGTTCTGTTTTACTCCCTGCAATGATGGTGATTGATGAAAGACTCCACGAAACCACCCACCACAGCCCTGGGTCACTGCTGTTGGGATGACCCCCTTGTTCACTAATTTAACGTTATCCACATGTCACTGACTCCTTGATGGACTGCTCTGCTGCGTGACAGACGTCAGGAGATTTTTCTCAAAGAGACAATGAGTTTGAGGGAGTGGGAGGAGGAGAATAAGGGGAGGGCTGATGCTTGCATACCGTGATCTACACTGTGATCACTCGGGGTAACTGACGTTCTTGATTCATCATCCGGCGACCTCACGAGCCGCGTGGCTATATAAGCTGTGGGACACTGCTGTTCAGAAAACACATCCAGACCTCAAGAAACTGACCTCAGTTCATCACCAAAGATCTTGGTAAGTGCTTCTTGGTAATGATTTTATGGATTTTATTACCTACAGCCAAACAAATTCATGGACCTATACTTTAAGAAGCTCAAAATGGATTTGCTTCTCTATCCATTTGTCATTGAGTCTCGAGAGACAAATCCTTTAAAAACAAAAACAAAACAAAAGAATAAAAGGTAAATATAAATGAAAAGATATTGTTGACTTTTGAGCTTGTTGTTTTTTTTAAATTTTCTAATTTATTTCTACTGCAGCAAACCTACTTTGATGACAAAATGAATTGCTGTGTATTTCTTTTATGCATGTCCTTAAGTACAGCCTAGGTTAATCAGCAGTGCCGTTCAGTCCCCCTCAGTGCCTTGACCGACTGCCCCAGCCCCAGCATGCTGCCTGGGAGAGACGCTGCTGTCCGGCAGTGCATCCTGACGAGCCGCTGGCTCCCTGCAGCTCTGACGCTGCTCCTGCTGCTGTCCTCCAGCTTCAGCCGCGCTCAGAGCACCACGGTGGAGCATGACTTCCACATCGTACACAACGTAGACAACAGAAGTAAGTGGAAGTAGCTGCTGCCTCCTTATTTCACTGCAGTTGCTACTGTTTTATCTACTATTCATCATTCTACTTATTTCTCTCATATTCAAAAGTAAGATAAAGAACAGTGGCTAATATTGTGAATGACAGCTATCAGCATGCTTCCTCTTAGACATTGTGTTAAAAAAAAAGCCTTTGCTTTAGGAAATGTACATCTGGAGAATTAATCAAAAGATAGTGAAAAATTACAAAAGCTGATACTTTACTGATGTATCTGAAATGAAAAAAAGTCAATTTTTTTGCAACAACTTTGAATGTTCTTTCAAAGAAAGATTATTATGCTTTTTCTTGTCTCTAATATTTCTCTTTTGCATAATTTTTTGTTCATATTTTGCTTGCCATTTCTTTCTAATTTAGACATTTAGCACAAAGTAGACATTTATTAAGCAAAAAAAGTACTTTGTGAAAATATTTCAGACTAGTCAGTCTACATTTGTTTATATGTTGAAACCACATAATCTATTTTTGCTTCCTGTTTTTATGACCACAGAGATGTTTTACTTCCTTCTCCTGCTGATGTTTGTGTCTGAATACACTGTCCAGGTCCAGAGATAGACCCGTTCTGGTACGTGGGCCGTGGAGTGCGACCCATAGGGCGCTTTGGGAAGAGGCACAGCAGCATGGAGGCTCTTGGAAACAATGGGATGCAGCCTGTCCTAAGGACTTTGGAGCTGCTGCTCAACAGCCTCAGAAAAAAGGAAAACCTTGAAAAAGTAATCAGTGGAGAGGAAAATGTTTGGTTACCATGATGCTGTGTTCTTGCCTTCTGTCCACAAACCTTTTTTTATTCTCTTAGCTGAAGTTGTACATTTATTTCTTTTAATGTAAAGCTATGAGGTTAGTCATTCGTGCATAATTCATTCACCGTGAAGTATCTACACGTAAAAGAATGCAATGTATATTTATCAATAAATAAGAGTGTTGTTAGGATACCAGTTAATGGTGTCGGTTGTTTTTAGCTTGCAGGTGCACAACAAAATGTTTGCTTCAAACTAAACAGGTTTCCTTCAAGTTTGCAAATTTTATTTCATAATACATTTTATTTCTGAGTATTGTGGCACATAGAGAATCTGTATTTTTTGCATTTTAATATTTTCCCCAACATGTCATATGGATTGCAACAAACGATTACACATAAAAAAAATATGAATGGCCCGCTTTTGGAGCTGTGCACAGTGTTGCTTAGACTGGATATAGACAGGAACAAAAGCAGTGTCTGTTTCAATGCCATTCACTTTCATTTTCAAGATGAGATTACTGGCATCTTACAGCTACAATTTTAACTTCTTGTTTGAGTCCAGCCCCACAAGTTATAGCAACTTTTACAGTCTCTTGCACACAACACTGAAAGAACTGACCGGGCAATAAACATGTTGCACTATATCATATCCATCTCTTTTTAACACATATACATACATTAACAAACATTTTGATGAGATATTATTGTTCTTTACATTAGAAAAATACAGGACACCGATGATTGGACCCTTGCAGATGTGCTTTTCATGAAAAACTTTACACTGATCCCATAAAACCAGAAACATGCTTTTATACTACAACACCTTTTGGAGAACAAGACTGACAAAAGCACAGAATCAGTGTGTGCAAACTGAAAGATGTGAAAGGCTGCGATGAAAAGATCACTAATAGGAGAGGGAAGATCATTCATACAGAGCATCATCACATCTTTTATGCAGTCCATCAGGACATCCAACCCTGTTTTTTATATTTCACCAAAGCAAAAAAAAAAAAAAAACAACCAAGTGCATGGCTAAATCAGATTCTGATTCATGTAAGTCGTCACCAAGTAAAGAAAAGTTACCCAGGATGAAAGGCAGCCTCCTCAAATCTAGTGTCTAAGGAGTATACAAGTGCAGTGTAAATCACACTTTCAACATGCCTTTTGTAGCAACCTGTTTTTGCAACACTCATGTCACCAGTGCTGATAAATGAAGGCTTACACTGAAAGCAGTTTGAATCACTACATGAGTCTGGTAGAACTAATTAGGGGTCCATGGAGGATAGGATAAACCCTTTAATTTCTAATAGTCCTTATTTCTGAGATATTGCATAAAAATGTTCTGCAAGTACAAAAATAAACTGTTTGTAACAAAATTATGTTTTCATGACATTTGTAATATAGCCCATTAGATGTTGTGTAAAAATCTCAACAAGATTTTTATGATTACAACACAAATGTTCGGCTATGACCCGGAAAAGGATATAACAAAAACAAACATTTTATTTAAAAAGAAAGGCCACAAAGTTGAAAACAAAGAATGCAAAATAAATTCTACAGAGAACTTTGTTTTTTTCACCGAATATCAGACCTCAATTTTTCAAATATTTGTCTTGTAAGAGAGATCTTTTGAGCTCAGTGGGACAAACCTCGTTAAACTGAGGTTGTTATTATTTCAGCGGTTTTAAATCATGAAGAAATTATGTTTGGTTTGAGATTCATTGAAAAGGATCAGTGCACCCCCTCTAATTTAAGGATTATATTGCAGGCCAGTTGAAAATTGTTGCCATTTTACAAAACAAGAAACCAAAGATCCATATTAGCTTAACATTTCTAAAAGGAGACCCAGTTGCTCTTTCTTCGAAGCCTGGACAATTTTTTGGCCGCCCAATAAGAACTTAGCTAAAATAAGCCAATTATTTATTAGAAATAATTTTTTTTAGTTTAATTGTTTATTTTTTGTCAGAGTCACTGGCGGTGATACCTACTCACATGATTGTATTTATAAGTCTTTCTATATGTATCCAAATTCACCCTTATTAAAGACATACTGGGCTCCAACTATGGTAGAGTAAGATCTTTATTTCATTTCAATGTGATCTTAAAGTCCAATATACTGGACTTATATTATCTATCTTATCTGCATCGTCTATTTAGTTTGGCTCTTCCCCTTTTCCCCATGCATAGCAAAGCAAACTGGCTGTTAGAGCCTCCCTGGACTTCACCAAGTTAAGTATAAATCATGTTTACATATACAATTGACACATTGGAATTTAATTATGGTAGAATTATTCTTACTTACTTTTACACTGATGTATTTAGCACAAGCCATTTTCTTCTATGCAGTGTTGTACTAAGAAATTGGATATTTTTTCTTTGAGTTACAATTTAAAAAAAATACAATAAGAAGGGAAAATTTTGTTTTGGAGAATTGAAGATTGCCAAATCACCCTGAGCTCAATATCTAACATGGCTGCCATGCATATAAAATACAGTGAAAATAGATGCTTGGCTATAAACTATTTATGAGCTTTATGTCAGTTTATCTCTCATTAAACCAACAGCATACTGTAAACTTCTGTTTGGGAACACATTTCTTTAGTGTTTGAATAGATAAAATAAAGATTAGTGCAGATGGCCTACAACAATACCACAAATCCCACTGGTCTTCCAATTTGACACATGAAAAATTTTTATCTGGCATGTGGTATTAACCCCAGATCTGTGTTCACACTTTATAGAAAGAACAGAGCATCAGATTACTGACTGCTGAAGGATCATTGGCTTAACTGGATGCTGGATATCAATTAGCTTCCCCATAATTAGAACACTGGCATCTAAACTATACTGCAATTATATGAATATTTTATTCTCCTCTGTACGTTAACAGTAGATTGAACAATATCACAGAGGTGCTTTGTATTTGTTTTCGCTCCTGCACATTGCAGTGTCAGGAAAAGTTCTTCCATGTTTTGGCCCAGATACTTTGCATATCTGAAACACTGTTTTCAGGTACTGTGAGTGCAATGATCTGAATTTAAATTGTTAAAATACCAAAGGTTTAAGTGTAACCGACATTTGATATAAGCGTGTAAAATGAAAAAAATATATATATATCAATGGTAGTCGGAAGGTGGATAAATACCTGTTTTCTTTTTACCAGTTTACTTAAGAACTAAAAACACAAGACAGCATAAAAACTGTCTGGTCTTTCCATGACACTGAATCATAGAGAATTTCACACAATCTTTTCACAGCTTCATCTTACACTTAGTAACGACACAGATGGAGAACGGCAATGCATTCTTCTTTGTCTGTACAGATGTATATATATATATCTATATATAGATATATCTATATATCTATATAGATCTATATATATAGATCTATATATCTATATATAGATCTATATAAATATATAGATCTATATATCTATATATATCTATATAGATATATAGATCTATATATCTATATAGATCTATATCTATATATATATATATATCTATATAGATGTAGATCTATATAGATCTATATATATATAGAGAGAGAGAGATAGTGAGTTGTATGTAGCATGAGGATTGTTTGCAGATTTTAAGGCAGATACACCAAATGCTAAGTCAGCTTTTACATGTGTGCATTGAGGAAAGAAATACTAAAGGTTAATGGTGAAAAAGAGAAACAGCCTTTAATGTTTTCCTGTTAGGTGCAGCTGTTGAGGTTGGCTGAGGTTGGAGAATGCAGGGTGGGTGTCAGCCCCTGCTTGGCCAAGAGCTGGAGGCAGATGTTGGGTCAAGGCACTAGATGTGAAGGGCCCCTGTCCCTGAGGCTCTGTAAAGTGGCCCTGAGGGACTTGTGCTGCTGCTTGTCTCTATGGCCGAAGAGCTTTAACCTGCTGCTCTGACTCCAACTTTTCTGAAATGCCATAAAAACAAACACTCTGTTATCCGAGAAAATTAAAACCTATTTTTTCGGCCTTTTTGGTACAGCAAATGGACAGGAGAGAGAGACGGAAAAAATGCAGAAAATGGCCGAGAAACCAGGTCCGAGACACCAAAGCCTGGACAGATCTGCTGTTTTGCAGGGTTTTAAATGCCTACCTGCTCAAACACAGATGATTGAATTATCTCTACATATTTGGGAAAGTCCTGGTCGCAAGACATTCAATTCAGGTGGTTTAATTAAGGAAAAGAACTAGATACCAGCCCTACAGAGGACTGACCTTGGACATCACTGACCTACACTATGATGGCCAGAGGGAATGAATGACGTGATCTATTACTCGTTTTTCAAACCACACTGATAAAGCTAGTCTGACTCAGAAGAGTGAAGACTAAAAAGAATATAAAGAAAGCTCCAATAGGGAAAAAAAATCCATTTACAAACATGAAAGGGAGACGACTACTTGTAGCTCGATACAACAGCCTCATCAACCTGCACTGGATGTGTGTTTCCATTTGGGTACTTTACGTGTAATGGGGCTTTTCAGTTTCTTAGTCTGTTTTTAGCAAATGTATTCACTTTTGCATGTATTCAGGAGCAGCTTTTTCTTCGGAGGTGAAAAAAAAAATCCTCCTGTTTTTGTGTGTCTGCTTTAGACTCCGAGCCACTCACACTATATCTGCAGATACAGATGTATTATTTATTGCATGGTAGGGTGATTTAGTTACTTCAGCATATGCATATTCACCAGGATATTACTAGTGAATATGCAGAATATCAGCTCATAATATACATTTATCTAAATATATTTGACATTTTCTCAAATATCTAAAAAAAAACATTCTTTTTCTGGCTTTCTCTGTGCGCGTCCAGTTTTCTGCAGACTAAACAGAAACAGCTAGATTAATACCTTTTAATGGAGGTGCTGGGAGTTTCCTTCTCTGATGGCGCGACGAGTCCAGTGTTTCAGGCTGGAATAGACACAGTTATGTAGTTTACAAACTCCAAAACAAGCAGACTGGATTTTGATGGAGGTCACGTTACAGTTACGGTATGTTACTTTTTATCAGCAAAAATCTTCAGAATATAAAAAAAAGAACATCTGAAGAGCAGAGGTACCTTGGACTTTGACTTTATCTTTGAGAAGCGATTGCAGACAGTCACGTTTAACCCAGCTGTTTTCAGAGCTGAAATTCTGGCCTCGATGTTTGATATCTTCAAAACAAAGACACGTCATCCACAAGAAGACTTCTCACTTAGTTGTGACTTATGAACAAGCACCCGATATTTTTACTTTCTCCCAAATAAATAATCTTTCTAAGTACCTGTAGTTCAGACTGCTGGACCTGAGCTGCTGCAGTGGCGACCTGGTCCTCCAGGAAGGCCAGATCAGTGTCTGTGGTCCCACTGCTAATACTGCGGGCACATTGCTCCAGTTCTCCTAGCGCCCCCTCCAGGCCATACACAGCTCCAGCAGCCAGGTACACCTGCACGGTCCAGAAGAGCTAAATTATCATCATTAATAATCTTTGTTCAGTCTGATATGCTTATGCAGTGCTACTCCGTAGCCTACATTCTCCTCCATCTTGGTAAGCCTCTGGTCCAGCCTGCGTGTCTCGGAGCTGCTGGATATGGGAGAGGCGCTCATGGACTCAGACGGAGTGTAGCTCTCACCACCAGCCTCTCCAATCAGATCTTCTGTGGCGTTCAAGACCTTCAGCACTTCCGTGGTGATGCTGCACAGTGAGGCTGCTGAATACTTTTGCTTTGATCAGAAAGCAAAGAAGCACATGTGCCTATTTATTAGCACCAGTAATCAGGATGCTACAAAATTGTTCAAAAACAAAACTAAACAAAAAAAAGTAAAAACAAAACTTTTCTACCATGAAAGGACTTTAGTATGCGCTTGTAATAGTAGATGTCAAGACACAAGAGTGCCTTTTATTGGGCTCATTCGGTAAAAAGCCTTTAAATCAAGTTAATGAGAGGAAAAGACATTCTTTAGGTTTTTTTAGAAATCCCAACCTCAGAACTCAGGTTGTACAAAAACACATTGAAGGGACATACATCGACCATGTTAGAGCTTGAAATTGATCACAGAAGCAATAGGAGTGGAAAACAAGGATATGAGATGTACCATAAATTAGGAGAAATATGTCCAAAGGCAGACGGACAAATTTAGAGAGATGAGCGGTGATTTATTCTTTTTATGCCTTAAATATCAAAACAACATCAGAATGAACAGCATGTCTTGATTAACAAACAGACAAATTTGCAGGAAGGAGCTAATTTGATCGCTAATTCTTCACATTTATTGTGTGGCAAACTGGTCAGGAAGAAAATTGTGTGTTTAAATCCTGGTCTGTGTGGAGTTTGATGTTCTCTCCAAATATGCATGGGTACTCTGGCTTTCCAAAAACCTAAATGTTTGGTTAAATAATCAGTCTAAATTGCCCCGGTGTGTGTGTTTGTACACATGATTGTTTATTCTCTGTGTCTCTCATGTCCTGTTATGGACGTGTCCAATGACTGCTGGAGACAAGTCACAAACTCCTCCTGTGCCTCTGTGCCCCACATTGCCTATGAGCTGGTATACACAATCAATAGATGTGACTATATTTAAGACTATATTTAATATGTGCTAATTTTATAAAACAAAACAACAACAAAGAACAAAAAACGTTTTTCTTTTTCAACTTGGTGCGAGTTGACACATTTACGAATATGAATCCAAGTCCAGTCCCTCTGTCCAATCTCAGATGTACGGAGAGGTGTATGAAAATAAATGAAATATATTTGTAAAAATTTGTTATTTTGTTAGATTAATGAAATTATTGTCTTCACATCTTCGTCACAAGTTCCAGTGCATGTGAAGGAGTGTGTGTATAACCCAATAGCAAAGATGTAAAGCAAAAACAGCGGCTGATGTCTTTCCCCGAAGAGATAAAAACACTGCAGACATAAAGGTAGACGTGTTTTGATCAATAATAAATAAATCGTTGGGTGGCACTTTGATCAGTCCCATCTCAGGCTTATTGATCGTATTTTAAGCAAGGGTGCCTCTCTGAAAGGTGTTTTGAGGCAACATTAGAAGAAGCAGGTACATGGAAGGGAACAAAACAAAGGAGGTGGCATCTTTTCTTTCATCCCAATTCAGTGATCTTAGCCATGTGGAGTGGCACAGCTGGACATTCTGAGATATGTATCGATCTGAGCTGCTCAATAGCCATGTGAAGATGTCCTCGTCCACCGGATGGAGTCTGCGTCAAATGATCTAACGCACGTGTGGCTGTGTATGTTTGTTCTTTCACTCTGTGCCTTGCAGATCTGCGGCATCGCACGTAGCTTCATCCAATGAGCCGCTCCTAATGTCTAAGGAAATTCTGCTTAAAGCACAAAAGAATTGAAGCAAAACACCTGCAGCTATAGCGAGCCATCATCCATTAAATGTGTATAAACTGAACTGGCTTTGGGTCTTAATTAATCGTTATTTTACCAAGAGTTCGCTTGAAACACAATCTTTTTTTTCAAAGGGAGACCAGGTGAAAAGGCACACTGAGGCTTATGTTACCCTGAAACAAATCTTCATTCATGTTTTCTGAAAAACAAAAGCCAGCTTCTTATTTGTGCATGTACATGCTGACGATGACGCAGATGAGAAACATAGTGGATAATTACATCAGCCGGGCAGCAACCCAATATGGAAGAGTGACTACTTCACATAGATTAATTTAATAAAAGCCGAACTCTGGCTTTTGGTGCAAAAGCTGAAAATGGACAGAAAAGACCAAAGTAAAAAAATAAAATCATAAAAATAAAATAAGAACATCTTTGATGATACGTTTTCTCCCCCAATGAATTCCCAAAAGGGGGACAAGAAAACGGACAGAAATAGATGTTATGACTACATTAGCTATTCACCTTGTCAGAAGCAGGCGTGACTCAGAGAAGCATTCATGATGTCCCTAATGACCAACCATAACTCTCACTTTTCAGAGGGGTGTGTGTGTGTGTGTGTGTGTGTGTGTGTGTGTGTGTGTGTGTGTGTGTGTGTGTGTGTGTGTGTGGGTGTGTGTGTGTGTGCGTGTGTGTGTTTGTACCTGACTTTGTGCTGATTAGTCTGAGTTGACTGGAAAACAACTATTAAGTTCAGATACTGCAGTAAGAACTTCTAATTACAATATTTTTCTTAGCACTTTGCTTTACCGTCTTGTGTTTTGATGTGTCATATTTGTTCCCATTTGTACTAATTTAATGTGTGCATATATAATTTTGTTTTAAATCATCAGAGATTAGTGCTGTTGTCTTTCTTTCTGAATGGAAAGTCAAACATACAGAGCCTTAGAAAAGTAACCAACCCCTGATTTTTTTTCTCGATTTCATCACGTTACAGCCACTAAAATAAGTATTACAATTATTGTTATTTTATGTGCTATGCAAACAAAATGTAATATACAATTAGAAAGTGAAAGGAAAGCGGCCAATTAATGAAACAGTCAAATTTTTACTGTCTACAAAGTCAGAGGAAGCCATGGATACCTGGAGAGAACATGCAAACTCCATGCAGAAAGACTCCAGCGGGGATTTGAACCCACAACCTTCTGGCAGCAATTATACCACCTGCTCCACTGTGAAGCTGTAACACACTTTTATTTCTACAACATGTTGAACACCAGATATTCCTTCCATTCTACTATATATTTACACAAAGCTTTCTGTGGTTCCGTGAGATACAATCCCAATGAGATAAATTGATATTTGCAGTTGTTTAACAGGTATGAATACTTTTGCAGTGCAGCGTGCGCAGAGGGGAACGGAGGCAGATTTCTTAGGCGTGCGGGAGTGCAACAGCCGCTTCACAGATGAAAAATTACCAGACCAAAGGCTGTGATTCATTCTGACCTTTGGAGGCTTTCATTATTAAAAATGTTCTCCTCAGAGAGGGGTTGCCAACTCATGGGCTTTAATAGTTTTACACCATGCTGGATCACATCGAGAGTGAAGCAGATGTTTGAGCGCGGCTGCCTGCAAAGATGGGAGGACTCGCTTTGCTCTCTGGCCGGACAGTGATCTCACCTGCTGCAAGACAGAAGAGAGCAACTGAAGCCTCTGTTGTTGTTCCAAGTCATTCTGCCCCACCTGACACCAAGACACACACACACATATAGAAACACACAAGGCAAATAAAACCAGCCAGACGAAACACACCAAAGCAGTGAGTGCAAAGGACAAAAGAAGTGTAAATACAACTTTAAAGGCCACGATGGAATACAAGCAGGCAAAACAGACATACAAGCCAGAGACAGAGAATGACTAACAATGAATGTGTTTCTCATGTCTCATCTCACCGGGTTGTTTGACAGCCCCCCCTCCTGGGAAGATGGAGAAACAGCAGGAGAACTTGCACTGGATCCGCTCCTCCTGGCTCCACCTTTTTGCGCCGCCTCCTTCTCTCCATCTCTCTTGCGCTGTTTCTTACTTACTCTGTTCACCTCTCCTCTTTTCTGCTCCTTCTCGGCTACTCTCTCTACAAAACTCTCTGCTCTGTTCTCTAACTTCCTCCCCTGAGCTCTCGTTTCCTCTCGCTCAGAGGAGCTCTTCACTAATCCGGGAGCCCGTTTCATTTGCTGCCCGTTCACCTGTTCCATCGCGCCGCTTTCTTTCTCTCTCTTGACACTTGCACGCTGCCTTTGCCTTTCCGTTTCTTTTGGTCTCAATTTCTCTTTCTGTTTCTCACTTTCTTTCTCCGTCTGTTTGTCCTCCTCATCGGATGAGACACTGTCTTTGCTGTTCCCTCGACTGACCAGTCGACAGAGCTTAGATCGTATTTCCACTTCCAGGGAATCTCCAGAGCCAGATCCAGGCCCCGGGCTCCTGGAGACCATCTCTGGCCCCGGGGACACAGAGTCAAGCTGAGCAGAGTTGGGCAGTGGAGAATTTGGAGCAACTGTGTCGGAGGGGTCAGGCTCTCCTGCTGTCATGGCATCTAGTTTGAGGGCATCTGGTCCAGCTGGTGCTGCTAGTGTATCGTCAGGCACCGGCTGCTCCTCACTTAAACCTCTCTTCAGCAGGGCATTGAGTAGAAAACCACTGTTCTCCTGAAACACGCAAAACACAGGGGTTAAAAATCACCTGGTCCACCTAAGAGAATACACAGTTACATAAAAAAAAAAACACACACACCTGTTTGGTAGCATACATGAACAAATTGTTGGTGACACAGCAGAGATGGAGAGATAAAAATAAGCAACAATTAGAAGTGTTACCTGTGCTAAAGGGTAGATGGACTGTGCGTGGTTCGGACCTCCAGGTTTGTTCTGGTCCGTTGATGACTCCTTTCTGCTTTTCCTGCGTCTCCGAGATCTTCGGACACACTGCCTGTCGTCCGCCTCGCTGCTGTCTCCCGTCACCTGCTAGACAAACAGCAGTAGTGGTGAAATGTCTGATTTTCATTGGTCAGCTTCATGATATGTCAGTGGTCATTGTGGGTTTTTCATTAATTAAAAGATGGATCCCAACAGTTCTGTCCAAGTATTTATTTCTCAAGTTCACCCAGAGGACAAATCATCTAGAATGGATCTAGATTGGTTATTTGGATTAATATTAGTATTTTAACAAGCAAAGTAGATGTAAAAAGTGTACCCATCTGTATTAAAATATTTTTTTTAATTATTTGTAAAAAAAATTTTCAACTTTTGTACATTTGCAAACAGTTCGCAGAGAAGGACCAAGACATCGAGATGAAAAAAAAAACTACAATGGGGTGAACCATTTCATTGTCTATAAATTGTGATTTTTTTTTTCCTCTATGAAATGCATGAAGGAAGCATCACCTTGGGGTTAAAGTTCACATCCAGCACCTCTGTGTGGGCTGAGTGTTGGGATAAGCTCTGCTGAAGGGTCGGATGGTATAGCGGCTGCTGATGAGGATGGAGTTGAGAGTCCGCCGGTCCCTTCCTCCTCAACAAGTTGTGAGTGGGTTTGCGAGGACATGCAGACAGCACCGACGAGGCCTCGGAGTCCGAGTTGAGGGTCTCCGTGTTGGTGTACAGGCCAGAGGACGGCGAGGTAACAGCGGGGTGCTGAGTGTAAGTCCACTCGGGGTCGTGCTGCGAGTCCGTGTAATAAGTCTCATCAGACAATTTGCGGCGAAACTGTTGGAGCGCCGCGCCCCACCCGCCGTCGTCCTCCTCCTCCTCCGAGTCGGAGCCCATTTCGTCGTAAGCAGAGACCACGCTGGACTCCTTCTCCAGGACGCTGAACACCAGGCTCTTCCTCTTGGTGAGCAGGCTGGGCCGGGAGAGCTGCGAACTGTGCAGAGCGATCCAGTTTCCGTCTGGGCTCTGCAGCACCGAGGATGCGCCTGGAAGCACAAATCCATCAGGGTGTTTGAGGAAAAAAAAAAAAAAACTCTTACACGACTTTCATTCCTTTTTAGAAATACAAAAATCTGAAAAATGTGGCATAGATTTGAATTTAGCCTCCCTGAGCCAACGGGATGTAGAACAATTTTGTTGTTGTTGTTGCAGTTATTAAGAGGCTTATTAAGACCCCTTGTGAAAAGTTCGAAGAGCCACAGGATTTAGATCCTTGGTGTAAATCATTCTGTGGTAGCATTTGGAGTTGTCACATTATATTTTATTTTGGGGCATCAGATTAAATGTACAGTTTGCAGAACTTTGTGTGGCTCTCTTGAACACACAATCCCCATAAAATACACTGAACACTTTGTGACAAATACCGAAGAGTTAAAGAGATATAGATGCTTCTCTAAGACTCTGCATCAAGACAAGCGATGAGGCGAACGAGACTGGGGATCTTTACTTGAGTTGTCCAAACGGTCCATGCTTTTCCAGCCGGGTAGCGATGCAGCCTTGCCCTCCCTCTTCAGAGAAGCGTACTCCTGCAGAGCGCCTCCACCAGCGGCGGCAGCAGCAGGCTCCTCCTCCTCCTCCTGACCCTTCTCTGGGGAGTCGTCACTGGTGAGGGAGAATGCTGACCGGGACCGCTGCAAGACGATCGAACACTTTTTTTTGTTAGTTTTCACCTTATTTTGCTCAGAAAACAAGAAAGGAAGAAAACAAACAAACAAACAAAAAAAGATGCTGGCCGTGATTTAATAGTCACAACAGCAGGTGGAGCTCCAAACCAAGTAAATAAAACACCATGCACTGATTCCCAATGACAAAATCTCCCCCTGGACACAAATTAATTAAAGGGGTTGCTTATTTTCAGAGCACAACTTCTAATTTTACATGAAATCTTCAAAGCGGGCTCATAATTTTAGAGTTCATTAAGACGTTATTTAAGTGGTTAACGATAGCTTTCTGTGTGTAGCTTCAGGGAAAGCCTAAAAGGATAAATGCTCTTAAGATAAAAGGCACAAAGCCTTATAACAAGTGGGATATTATCTTAATCTGTAGTGTTGCCAAGCAGGGAGGCGGCTCTGAAAGTCCATTTGCATCCGCTGTGTCTCGAGGAGTGTGTTTGTAGAAAGCTAATGAACAGGCGGGCTGAGAAGTTTAGGAGGATCCGTACGTATTTCACAGGACTTTGATCTTCCATGAGTGAAACAGCGGGAAACTGAGAGGCCTGGAGGGGGGGGAACGCAGCTTTGATGCTCCGCTCACACACACACACGACAATGACAAATCTACGAGTCCCTGCTGGCTGGTGGCAGGATCCGATGGGAGGCTGATCTGCTGCTGGTTGGGTTTTTTGCTATGAACTTGTGTGTGCAGCGTGTCGTTTCTCTCCAGATCGAAACATTACCTGGAAGGATTGCAAACCAAACTGCTTGTTTGGACTGTCTTAGGTCCCATTTTTTATTTTTTTTACTTAGATCAGCCGAAACTGCTTCTGAAATTTGTTCAAATGACATTTAGAGAATAATTTGTATCCCTTACCTTAACTTACTGAAGGGAGAAAATCCACAGTAGAGAGGAAAACAAGTATTGGCGAGACAACTGTGACATTAGAGGGAATCCTAGGTAAAGCCTCCACAGAGTGCCCAGTATTTCTGCTAAATCAATGTTAATTTTAGGGTTCATTTTACCTTTAAAGCAATACTTTGTGTAAATTAATTCTTTTTTTTTGTTGTTGCTTATAGTCATTTAAGTGCAGCAGAATGCAGCTCTCCATTAGAAACCGATTGTGCTGGATTCCCAAAATAAATGATAAATGACCACATGGAGAAAGTTCTGTGTTTATTTGGAATAACCTCAAGTGCTTTGTTAAAAACAAGCTAAGCGGGTGCGTGCTTGGCTGGTTTATGGTTGTTAAGACATGTGGTCAGGATAGCTCCATTACAAATCCCATTAAGAAAAGTCACAAAATTAATGACCGAGTACTGGCTTTCACCTTTTAAATCAGAATATTTGATTATTTTTCCACCATTTTCCGTAAACTAAGAGGGAACAACAAGTACACGATAGTACAGACAGAAAATAAACTGGGCTATTCAACAAGAATGCAAATATGCAGCTTGTGGGTAGGAAAGAAAAAAAAAACTAACCGTCTCTGCACACAGATATGGTTTACACCCTCTATCCAGCCAGACATGTTGGGATGAAAGGGACTCACCCACAGAGGATAGGGGTTCTTCAGAGGGTCCTGTGATGAAGTGTGAGGTTGAGAAGGAGATGGCAGCTCAACGGTCTGGACTAGAGATTGAGATTGTGGCCAGACAAAGTCATACTCTGTTTGCATCTCTGATCGCTTCCTCCTCTGAATGATCTGATGGAGACAAAAGAAAGAAGAGAGAGATAGAAGCCTCAGAAAAATAGACATATTCTAACAGACGAATGCAATATATTCAATGGTCTTTAGCCTCCTTATCAAAGTAGAATAATCTTACCACAATTAACCTACTTCACTTCGACTCAATGTTTTATGCTTGAATGCGACATGGACGCAAACTGATTCAAGATGAGTTCATCATTTATTCATTCTCATTTTAGTAATGAGGGTTTCCATTATTGCTTGCTGATGATGTGGAAGAATAAAAATGTTATAAAAAGACAAAACAGCCTCTCGCAGCTCACTTTCTGCACAATTGTGGTTGCCAGTTCCTCTATGAGCTCATCTCTGTGGTCCCGCAGATATCGAGCCTCATTCTGCTTCTCCTGCACACACGTTTCATTCAAAGAGACTCAATTATGTAGAGGTCAGACAGAAAGAAGTAGGACATGGCTGGGAAAGTTGGTCATCTACATATTTAAATTAGGAGAAGAACATAAAAAAAAGAAAAGAAAGTAAAACAGCATCCTACCAAACTGTCCCGAAACTCCTCCGCCTTAGCGATGGCCTCCTCTATAGCTTCCTCAGCAACACGCAGGGCGACTGTGAGGGTCTCTGCCATACTGTGTCCTTTTACCACCACAACAAACATGACTCAGATATTCACATAAGTCACGGTTAAAGCCTCTGAAGATTATCTAACTTGCCATTTGTAGGGCAAAAATAGATATTTATCTTCCTACTCAGCTTAATTCAAAACAAATGATCTTTTTTTGATTTCTTAAACTTTAGGCCTCCTTCAAACAGGAAAGAGTTCGGACAAGAACAGAAAAAAAAAAATCAACAGTGTGGGGCTTGAGTACATTGAATTTGAATCAAGAATTCACTAAGCTCACTATTACCTGTGATTGGGTGTGATAATATTCTCACAAGAAAGGATATGTAGTTCCTGATTTAAAATGCGTGTTTGGGTGGATTTCTGCTTAAATGCCTGTGTGTGAACTTGTTTAGAACAACAATGAATGGGGTCAAAGGTCAATGGCAGCGGTGAACATCAACAAAGAATGCGAAGGATAAAGGCTCTGAAATGGCAAAGATGATTTTGACGGCAGTTACTTCCCATCTGCAGCGTGGCAAGCTCATCAACACGTCTCTCACCTTCACTCTGCCTGTAAAAGACGGAGTCGCTGCCGCAGACGCTGCCATCGTTATCGTTGCTTCCGTCGTGAACGCTGCTTTCTGAAACACAAAGGGAAGGGGAACCATGAGAGCGTTTCTCCTTACACTGACACTCCAACACCCTGCACAAATTGTGCTGCTTTGAGACGCAGCTGCAGCCACGTGAAAAGCAGTGCTGGAGCACCATGCCATGAAACCTTTTGTCAAGTGGATTTCCAACCTGGTTCTGTTGTCTACTTGGTTGTGAGGTTCTATTTCATTGTGATATTTTCTAAACAAAATTAGAGCTCAAAGAAAATGACAGCTCATCTCATCTCATCGTTTAATTTACGGTTCAAAGCAATCACACACACACACAAGCCAAAATATTCTGAATATTTTTGTCCCAGTCCTGCTATGTCTATTTTGCTCAATTCTTAAGAAAAACCTACATTTACTGCAATGCAAATGTGGTACAAAGGTGAATTCAGTCACATTATATGTTAATTGGTCTAATTTAAAGGACAGGAACCACTTTGATAAGGTTGTTGGTTAAAAGATTTCTCTTTTTAGAAGCTCACATTCCCTCAGACGCCCATTAGCTGCAGTATGATAGGCCTCCTGGGGGGCTTCTCATTAAACCAGCAGTAAAAGTGAAGTGGTTGTACTTGGACATGCAGCTTTTAAAGCCTAGAAACGTGCAGAAAAAAAAACACAGCTGCTGATTGCCAAACCACAGTGGCAAAGCAGAGGGAGGTCCATCTCTAAATCCACCTCTGGGTTCATTTTCATTTCTTGACATAAGTTCGATGGAAACTCATAGAACAGACTAAGCGTAAGAGAAAGTGTGATCCATGTTCATTCACAGACTTATTCCAACATTTCTTCATTTTCCAGAGCTGATGTGAAGCAGCACAGGCCAGGCTCACATATCCCTGCCACAGCTGTCAAATTGCCAAGACAGCAGCACATGAACTCATCACTCTCACACTCAAAGATTGACAAGTCCCTGAAGTTTTAAACATGAGCCTTCTCGCAAAGGCCAGAAAAACACTTAATAAAAACCGTTTAGAGAGGAAAACCTGAAATGCATCAGAATAAAGAGAGTAGCATTCCCCCCTCTACTTTTCATTCAGCAGGAGCAGCGGCTCCGTGAGCGAGGTGGCCTTATCGTTTCAAGAAGAACTGCTGTTTGTCAAAGTGCTGCGAGATTTTTCAAAGCGGGAGTGCAAAAGCCAGCAATTTCACCTGTCACATCGACACGCAGCGACACAACAAGAAAACACAATGTTTGATGTTTCTCTGCACATCTGACTCCCTCGAGGAGATCCTCCCCTGCCCCCACCCTCAACCTGCACACAGCCCAGTGCAGGAAGCCCCAGAGAACATCACCCTCTCCTCTGACCTTTCCCCTGTCAGTATAATCGTTGAATGAACAGAATTGCACAGTTTCTGCTTGGTTAGAGCTGGATTATGGTTTCTGAAGACAACAACAGATCGGTGGAATTACCTGCAGCAACGGAGGACGATGTAGACACAAAAGTACTGCTGTCAGAGAAAACGGGGGCACCTCCAAAGAGTCACTCACCGTCTGGTGGGCAAACAACAAACGCTGCTTGCACACACTGAATAAACTTGCCAGTCATATGGAAGAAGCCTGCGGCGTTGTGTTCTTGAATGCAAAGGATATGCTAAACCTTTAGCAAACAGGAGTACTGTATCCATTTCCTTTACAAATACTGTTGTGTATCTCCTTGCATTTGAAAGACTGTGGACGTGAGTTGAAATTTTGATTTTATTTCCACCCAAACCCTACCAAAATTCTCAAATGTACACTTTTAAGTCAGTGTTAGTGTGGTATATCCACAATTTTCTTTTGCCCTGGGATATAAATAGAACATGTGATGGGATATATATCAAAGAAAGTCATTTCTCCCAGCCATGCATTGAAACAGGAAATATAAGAGAACACACACTGAACTACGAAGCATGTGTTGGTTTGAAGGGAGGAAATTTGATTCAGTTCAATTCACTACTAAATTGATACTGATTAGCAGCAAAGATCTCCTGTAGTGGTCTGTGTTACAGCACTTCAGACAAAGCCTCTGACTGAAGACACTGTTGTTGAGTTGTTGAGAGGATTTTCAGGAATGTGCATTGTGCTTCATAAAATAGGGCAGCTGCAATTTCCTCAATATCATTAACAACATTGATGGTTCATTGCTATTTATCGTTACTTTTTAGCTAAAGTGAGATTTTTACGATTTCAGTTTTAAGAAAGAGATCAGCTGCAGTTATTTGATGTATCTGTATTTTTAAGTAAATATGGTGCAAAGAGAGTCTGATTAAAACCAAATAAGATAGCTTTTAAAGGTCTTTTTTATTTTTATTTTTAAGGACCCAAAAGGTCTAAAATATGGGAATACTTCAAGTACCAGACAGTGAACTGGATGAGTCTGGATGCTTTGTAACATTGACAAGCCAGTAAAAAAACTACAGCATGAAGTTAAAAAAACAAAACAAACAAACAAACAGTAAAACAGATTTTGTTTTTGTTTAGTTTTGTGTGAATACATTAGTCACCGAATCATCTGAAAGAATAAAATCCCAAACGTGTGTAGACATAGACATGATTAAACTGACTCCATGACCGCCTCAATTCCTGGAAACAAATCTTGAAGAGAAGCTGTGTGCTGAGGGAAGGAGGGAGGATCCAGGACTTTGATTGATCGATTGTTCAAACAGAAATAATCAAAGACCTGCACCATTTAAGACTGGAATGTTGTCCTATTGGCAAAACGAAAATTTACAAACCTTCAACAATAGTGGTTCACAATAAAAAATAAAAATAAATCATTATACCCAAACGACTGTATGTGTTGTTTTAAAATTATTCTGCTGCCTAATTATTAAATAAATGCATAATTAGGTGCTTTAATAAGACCAAATGGATTAGGTTATTCTGCACATTAATGCTGTTCACCCATAAGTTCTATGAATAATGTAATAACAGCTCTGATACAGTAGCTGCTGGAATGTAAAATAGTATTATATCAGTTGATGCAAAGTGGCAGCAATCCACCATATTACAGAATATATAGCTGGTCTTCTTGAGGACAATTAAAATTTACTGTAAGTCGTTTAGACAAAGATTTCACTAAGAGTTTAAGTGAGACCTTAAGCATTAAATGAATTATGACAACAAAATGTGCCAATCACAATCTTTCATCTCCAATAATCCTGCCCTCCTTAGATGCTGATTATACTACTTAAGAGATTATTGACTTCTTAGAGTTGATTGATTGAAACAGAGTGTGGGAGGAAACAGGAGAAAACCCACACAGCACGTGCAAGAACACAGAGTTCTTCTGCGGAAAATCTTTGACAGTTGGCTGAGGTAAACCAGAGAGGCTGCACTTCCAAACCACACGAAAACATCAGCTCTAAAATCTGCATTCTGAAGCCGCAGAACAACAACACCACACATTTTGGACGTAAATTCAGTTTTTAAGGCTGCAGCCCACTTATGTGTGACTGTTAAAGAACATTAATTGCAATAATTTGGTTGCTTTTTCTCGTTACTTGTCCAAATGCAACAGTGAGATAAAACAAAGACACAAGCATCTTGACAAGAATAACTTTCAGCATTCCGACGTGACGAAAGATGAATCTGCAGCAATGCAGCACCGCACTTCAATCCATCACAGCACTTTGTTTTCTCTCTCTTCCCATAGCGCTACACACAGATGAATTCAGAATCCCTGTTGGCAGAAACTAGACATTTCGCGAGATCTGAATGCTTTTTAGGAAGTAAATGCAGTGCTTGGCAAAAAGCGGCTACAGACCTTGAACCTGAACACACAACAGAGAGTGCAGATCAACGCATATTCACACTAATTCAACCATGTCATCCTCTTTTGCTAAAACAATAAAAACACATATTTAGAAACTCTCTCCCATTCATATATTTATTATATATTTATATACACATATTCAAAAGCATTTTTTTGGCAAAGTGTAAGAATTGCAATCAGTTTGTCAAACTGAATGTTACTCTTTCTTTTTGTTGTCTTTATTCCAAGAAATTGCTTTAAAACACCAGGAATGCTTTCCTTCAACTTCAGAGTTATTACATTTTTCTGTTGACCTTTCACTTAAAATCCTAACAGTATAATTCAAGAGTCTCATAAAAAGACAAAAAAAAAAAAATAAAATAAAATAAAATCAGATATCTTCTGAATAAAAATGAAGTGAAATGAGGACATAAAAACAACATTCCTGAATTGCCAGCAGCAGCAGCAGGAGGAGGACAGACAGTCCAGACGGTTTGCTTTCAATTACAGCGCAGCATCTGGCAGCACAAACGAGCCCCGTAAACAAAGTCCTCAGAACAATGGCAGAGCTGACAGGATGACTGTTTATATCATTCAGGCTGGTGAAGGAGAGGAACAAACACACATATGGTCTATTGTCTCTTTAATTTGGGATCAAGTTGGGAGTTTACAGTAATGTGACTGAGCTGACATTTAAATCTGTAATGAACATCAATTATACCACAAACAAGAGCTCAGTCTCTGTTTCCTCCTGCAGAACATATACAACCAAATATTAATGACTGTCAGACTGAGCTTTGACTGGTGTCTGTTTTTTTTTTCTTTGTTTTTTTTTTTGAAGGGGGGGGGGAATTTGCAGAAATTAACTAGCCATAACAAAAGCTTTAGAGATTGAAATCGCAGAGGTGAAACACAAAATGAGGGAGCAACGGGTCCTCTGTAATTAATTTTCCCAGTTTTTCAGAAAGCAACCCAAGTAATCTGTCTTTGATTGGACTAATTTTCCTTAATGCAGAGACACAGAGGAGAACGGTGAAGCAAAAACAAATAAATAAATAAAATAATAGGGATTGGAAATGTTCAGCCTGTAATAGGAGAAAGAAAAAAAAAAACAATTCTGCATAAATCATTTCAAAATTTAGGTTATATATATGAATACATAAACACAAGAACAAATCTGCATAAAAGCATTTGGATCCAACCCCCAAGCTCAGATGTTTGCTTTTTACCAGCGCTAGCTCTAGGCTCCTGTTTAACATTTGCCCTCCGCTGACTATCTGTGCTCCCTCGTCAGATTTTCCTACCGTAGCACGGATCGATAGATAAGTCTGTCAGTCAGTGATACGCTTCCAAAACTCCTACCGTCGTGTTTACAAACAGAAAACTATAGCGGGTTGTGTTAAAGTTAAATACATTGGATAACATTATTTGAGTTATAGGAATTATGCTTAGCTTAGCACTGGGACAATTTATATCCATGACGAAACCACAAGAAGATCACTTCCTTCATCTGAATATCCTACCCATTTAAAATGAAAAGCTATAGATGCATGCACTGATCCTTTTACCAGAACATTCCACCTGTTAAAAATATTTTAAACACCGGGGAATAAAACAGTTTTATTTTTTTTTATTGGAATTAAAATAAAGACAAATGCACATCACCACAACTCTTTTTTTGCACATTAATCTGCTGTATGACAGACCTTATTAAATGCAGCGCAGCCACAATGTGTTCACCGAACTGCGCAGGTCACTATGCACCTGAAATGCTAGGATATGAATTATGTACACCGCTATTACACAGCTTCAATCTCACATAGTATCTCCAACAACATCTATTTAGCAAGGTTTAGTAATAAAGAGTGTTATTAAACTAAAATATTTTAGAGCAGAGGGTCAAAAAAGCCCACAAAACAATGTATTTTGTCCTGATTAACCGCCAAATAATAACTTGTTTACAGTAATTTCATTGCAGATGGCAAACTATGGCCATTGATAAATATATTTACAAGCTGCTTGTCATGTAAACTAAACATATGAAGTAATACATGAAAGCCAGGGATAAAATAAATTAAATAAAGCTTCCCGTAAAAAGCGAAACTTCCACAAGTAAGGAGGTATTTATGAGAAATCTGCTGAGTAGGCACTATGTGACGTAGCATCGATGCGCGCATGTGCATCACCACCAGGTAGGACAAATTTAAGGGTAGCACAGACAAATAGAATACCGGATCTGTGGGCCTTCAGCTCAAACAGCACCATGACAAATGACTCCAGCGCGGCCAAGTGTCTGAAAGACCACAGCCTCAGTTCAAAAGGTTCATTTTCCAAAGTGCACTAAAAAGGCTGATTATACATCTGCTGAAAGTGAACCTGCCTCTGCGTGTTTGCTGTTAAATTCTGCTACTGATTTGGCAGAACAACACCGAGGCGAAAACCAAGGTCACTCTTTGGAAACACACTTTAGATTTCCATTAAACACAGCTTTTAGAATCACTTAATGACACGAGAAGCCCTGGGCTAACACTGTGTGTGAATCTTAATTTCTTTAAGTGTAAATTTCACTTTAGGTCAACCTTACAAAGCCAAGTTTTTTGATATCATTTTCTTCATCATTGCATGCATCAGTCAACAGACTGCACATCAACATGCAGACACACAAATACATCTCTTTGATTTTTGCAGAGAACATACGACTGGAGCTGTGCAATACTTCAATGCCTGCGATCGCATTCTGCAGTTTGCTTCCTCTATTTGGTTTTCCGCTCGAGAAAATCACATGTGAGGATGTGGTACCAGGCTTTAGTATTTCTCCATTTATCTTTCCTGGATAGGTGCAAAGCTTCCCACGGATGTTTTGAGGGATGTAACAGCAAATAGAAAAGGCAGGGGAGGAAAACTAGGACATCACTAATCCCCGAACAAGAAATAAACATGATTTACCCGTCATAAAAATGTTCAAGTAGTTTCTTAGAGGAGTGTAAAAACGAGGTGGAAATAAAAAGAGATTTAAAAAAACAGTGACAAAAAGCAAATGGTTTCCACGGTCACTGCAGACTGTGCACTATTTTATCACAATATGGTATTTATGGTAAATATATATTTGTACCAGAATGAAGGATAATAACACATAGCAGCTCACAGAATGACAAGGGAATCTGTATGTTTTTTTTAACATTAGTCAGTTGTAAGTAATTTAACTTCTTTAGCTATGTCCTTACATGCACTGAGTTTGCATTCTTTCTTTTAGAGACTTTCAGTGAAAGCAACCTGTTCTATAAAATGTGCTTTTTCAACCACCCTAAAATTATACTTCTGTCATATAAATCTAGCATTGCAACGACTTCCTGTTCAGGATTGAGTCAGCTTCAACCGTTGGTTTTAATTAAGAGAGAAATTAGGCCAGACACCTTTATGTAAAAGTAATAATACTATAAAGTCATGTGCAAAAGTCTTGGAGTCACCAGTCATCCTTCATATTTTGCTTCCAAAGAGCTAGAGTCTTCTGATCAAAAAAATAAAATAAATAAATAAATAAATAAATAAATAAATAAATAAAAATAAAGATCTGTAGTTCAAAAACTTAACAGAGAAAAAAATTCTGGGAAATTTAAAAGATTTTAATGATGCTGTATTGAAGAATATGCTATTCATAAGTTAGAATAGATGGGTTAAAGTGCAGACTTACAATCTGTGGCAAAAACTAGCAGATGACAATCACAGATGCTCTCCATCCAGTCTGGATGAACTTCAGATATTTGGCATATAAGAATAGGCATGAGTGTCCATGTCTAGATGAGTAAAAGTAATACAAATTTACTTCAGAGTACTTCTATCTATATTTGCAACACAAGATTAATTCACTTTAGGGTACTAAATACAAAATCACTGCTCTGCTACAGAGAGCTGGTTTGTAAAAATTCCCCAAAGATGCAATGATGCTTGCAGTGATAATGTAGCCAGTGGTGGAAAATTGAAAGAGTACTGGCGCTTTTGCAGAGCACTGAAAATCTGTTTAACACTCTTAAACTCTTAAAATGTGTCATTATTCGCCGAAAAGGAGGTTTTAGATGGCATCTGATGTTAAAAAGAGATAAGAACCGCAGTTTTCTTTCCCGGCTGTACAACATTGACGTCTTTTCTCACCTTGAACTCCGTGAGAGAAACAAAAGAAAAAAGACATAAATAAAAAAACAAATACCAACGCCCAATGTAAATCTTATTTCCCAAGCAATCTTTACATATCAGCCTCTCCTATCAGACTCGAAGGCGCTCTTACAAGAAGATCCAAATGGCTTACCGGACACTCGCATGCAAAACATGTCAAAGTCCTACATGCTTAAATCACACAGGGAAACCGGGAGGCAGTGAAGTTCATTTGGCTGGTGTTAGAAATGAAACATGATCCACCCCAGATGATGGAGGAATAGAGAGGAGGAATGAACAAAAGTGGAGAGGTAAACCAAAATGGAAGTATACAAGGGGAGCTCATTTAGTCCAAGTCTGCAGTTTAGCAGACAAGAGCTTGGAAAGCTTAGACCACCCTACAGTGGAAAAGATGAAAATGAGTTTTACAATAGTAAAAATGACAGATGTAGCAACTCACATTGATATTCAACTTCCTAACAGCCAGAGTTGTGATTAATGCATGAGATATTGGTATAAACCCAATAGAATTAAATCATTTAGACAGCTCAATGACTCAAATTGCTATTTTGCAAATTTCAAAAATGCATCCTTTCATCGGTGCACTTTACGGTACCTGGTGATTTCCGCTGTTTACGTTGTAGATTCAACGTATTCCCAAACATCCCTTCATGTCAAGCTCATCCACTTGCGCCTTATACCCGACCCGAATCATCCCGTCTGTCCTCTCTTCATCCCCATAATCCCATGAATCAGGATATGAAATAATGCCTCTTTGTCAGGCTGCAGATGCAGCCTGATCGAGATGCAACTGGGTCAGAATGGAGTTCAATGTGAGCCGGTTAAAAACAGAAGCCCACTTGGCCGCCATCGCCGCTGCCCTGAGCAGGATGCCAACTGGTCAAAGCAGATTATCAAGGAGAACAGCTACAAGGAAGAAGCTCATCGACGGTTTTTCACTTTTATCAACTCAAACGCAAATTAATTGCAACAGAGATTTTCCAAAAATGCAAGACAAAATGTTTGTCACACCTAGATGTTTCAGTTTTAAAACATTAGCTTCCTTTACAAAAGGTACAAAATGTCTTAACCTACCAGATCCTTTGTAGAAAAAAAAATAAATAAATGACCAGTTTGTTAAAATATGAACTACCTCTGGTTGAGTTTCACTAGTTCCCTTCAGGTTCAATACTTACAAACCTGTAGAGTCAAGAGATCTCTGAAACAGAACCAGGGTGGCAACCTGACGGCTAAAATATCTCAAAATGTGTCACATCAGATCCCAGTCTCAAGAAATTGAAGAACAAAGTTTTTTCAAGCAGTGTCAAATTGATGTTAGACATCTGAGTCTGAGGAAAAACGTTACTTTAGCCTGTCTTACAGAAAGAAACTCATTCTGCAGGGAACGGGAGGGCAAAATGTGCTGATAAAAAAAAAAAAAAATTGAGTGATCATTTACCAAAGCAGAATAATAAGCTCATCCATGGATCCAACTAGGACCCGATAACTTTGGCTTGATGAAGTCTGACACGTCTCCGATGGCCAAACCGGACAGATCCCTTTCATCGACGATGTCTAATGTGGCAGCAGGCCGGCGACTTGATGTGGTTCAAATGTGTGTGCCAGGGTTTGGTTAATGATAAACCCTAGCACACACACACACACGCACCCACGCACGCACACACACACACATACACAGCCAATCAAAGGAAAGACAGACGCTGAAGTTACCTGGGAGATCAGAGAACGTTCCTCTCTCGATGATGTGCTTCCTGTACAGAGTTTTCAGAACCTTGGCACTGCCGAACCTCTTGAATCGGCTCTTCACGTTGTTATAATACCATTCAAGTGACTGCGTCCTAAAAACCCTGCAGAGGAGACAGAGACACAATACTGGGTCAAAAAGAGCTAACTTTATTTCAGCTGCCCAGGCTTAAGCCACAAAACATGACGGTTATGCAAGTGGAGTGCTTTGAGAGTAATTATTTAATCCTCTTGAAAAATTAATAAAGTGCTTTTCTTGTTCCAAAGTAAGCGGGCTAAATTACGAGAGCAGCGACATTTTGAACTAAAAAGCCTGATGGTCTGTTTGTAAAGTAAAAAATAAATGTTTTTTTAAAAAGGACTCACTCACATCTTTCTTACACCCAACAAAGCTTTAAAAGCCATTGTGTCTGACTGTTGGGTGAATGCTTGGGTTTTCAGACTTGACACTGCATCATTTCTTCAAGCCCTTTTCTTCTATTATTGGAAGAAAAGGGCCACTGGGTGCTTCAATGACAGCCCGACAGACCCCAGCACATAGCGCGTCATTACATAAGAAATAATAGATCCATAACAGAGAGAGTTTAGGAAAAAGCTCGGAGAAAGGGCTTTCTTTTCTCCAGCAGTGCTGTGCTGGATTGCATGAATCTCTGCCAACTTTACGTTTAATCTCGCAGCTCCTTCTGCTCTTGTTTGGCTTTTTCAGACGCTGCCACGCTAATGATGCGCCCAAACCAAAACAGATTTACTACTGAGGGAAATAAAACAAATGTCCATTCTGCTGCTCAGCTTCACAAAAACATACAAATCGCAGTTTTTGTGCACAAGTCCCTAATCAAGCCTCAGTTATTTCCATCTTATATCCAGCGAACCATAATTTCTCATAACTTTTGAATGTGGATCTTGAGCACTAGTTCTTCTGTCAGTCCAATGCCTGACCATATGCAGATAGCTGTTTTTATTCACAGTTAAGTAACACTTACCGACATAAAGGATTTGGTTACCATCTGAAGTTACTAAGGTTTTAAAAATCTGGCTTTACATGAATACAAAATAATTCCCACCAAAATTTCCCCACACATGTTTAAATGAGATTCTAGTGTTTTCAGATGCTTTAAGCATAGAATATTGAACCTTGGCCCCTCCCCCACATATTTCTGCAGTGCATAGTGCTGGTAGTATGCTGGTTTGTTTGGAAGAAAGGCAACATTTTTTCTTTTTGGAACATTCAGTAACATTTTTTGTAGTTAAATGTTTTGTCTATTTTTTATTTATTCTTATTAGCTATAAACAGAAAATGCTAATAATTTTCCAAAATAAAGATTTTGACATATTAGTCTGTATGTATTTTACTTAGAGAACTAAGTTACTGAAATAAATAACATATTAAATAATATTAACATTTTCTTGAATTGATAAAAAACCTGGACAGTCATTGTAGACTGCACATAGTCTACAATGTTATAACTGTAATGACCAATATTTTTGTAATATTTTATTGCTTTTCTAGTTTGAATAATTACTGTCACATATGTGCCTTCTGAAAGGACCGTGGTGGGGCAGGGGGGGGCTGCCACTATTACACCTCTGAGTCAGCGAGAAAGCTTGTGACTGCACCGTAAAGGTTGATTTATGAAAGGGTTAGCCAGCCTGGCAGCTCAAGGGTGTGATGTAGTGATGGCAGACAGTCTGTGTGGCCAGTTGGCTGTGGGATTTCAAGCGAGAACACATGATGAATCATTTGATGCCCACCAGTTTTCATCGCCAGCACACGCTGGGCGAGTCACGCCGAAGAAGCAACACGCTGGCGGACTTCAGCCATGGGTTATCTTCTCCAGGAGCGGTCATGCTGGAAATGAATGCAAAACTAAGTGGGCACCTGTGACTCAGTGGGTAGAGTAGCTTGACTTTGCACATACTGCTTGAACGCCTGCCTTTGGGCAAATGCTTCAGATCTATGGAGAATAGAACCAACAGACTGAGAAAGAGTTTTCACCCATTTGCCGTGACCATGCTGAATGCTGCAAAGTAATCAAATTGACCCTATCTATTTTTATGTCTGTAAATTAGTACAGTTTTTAGTTTTATTAAGGCATAAGTGCAATATTAGCAATTAGTTAAAGTCTATTTTTAAGTGGGACATTGTTTTTATCAGGAGAATTACACCAAATTCTATTCTATTCTATTCTATTCTATTCTATTCTATTCCAGCTTCCTCCTAACCCATGACAGCGACCCCCCTGGGCAAATAACTTGCCTTCGATTACCTACAGAAGTGCATATTGATGAATTAAAGCACTGGACACTATAACTAGAAAAGTACTCTATGCACATATGTTTATAATTTGTTTGTATTACCGTTGCAAATCTAAATTGAAAGCATGCCATTGCCAATGTGCGCACATCTTCCTCTAGTTGCCTATTTAAAATGAATAAAACAAAGAAAAAATGTGCCTTACAGCATAAATATACAGTACATCGCTGTCTTGAGATTAAATGTGCGTATTGATGCTTTTGGTCGGTGAGAGAAAGAGGTGTGGAATAAAACAGCCATGCTAATAAAGGCATCCTGAGAGCCCCTGAGGCTGACTGAGCTGCCACGTTCATCCATTCTCCCTGTACCTTTTCCTCCCCTGGATTTATTATCCGCTGCCTCCATCAGCTGGGCAGCTCAACGGGCCTCAGCTCCTTAATTTTATGCCACGAGCCTGCCTTGTCATTTTAATAGTTGCAGGCGAGCTCCAGCGAAAAAATAAAAATAAGAAACTAAAGCCTGGGTCTTTCTGATCTTTGTCTGGCCCAGAGAAGGAAGGCGCAGGCATCGCATGAGGCACAAATATAAATAGGCTTCACCTCCAATCTGAAATGAGCTGATGCATCATAAGGCAATGTTTGGACTGAGAGGCAGCGATGAAGAGGAGACTCATGCATTAGAGTTTAGACATTTTTGCTTTTTTGTGTTGCAGATGAAAGTTTGGCGAGATCTACAATTCTTAGCGGTTTGTGAAACTGTGATCAGTAAACTATCAACAGGTCAAATGTTTTAACCTGTCTATCAACAGGATATCTGAGCATATTCCTGTTGATAGAGAATTAAAAACACAAACATGAAAGAAAACAGTCCTTTCATGTTTGTATTGCAGAATAATCTACATCTATTTTCAGCTTCAAAAGTATCAGGATCCCACTGTGTCTAATTTGTAGACTGAGGGATTAGGTACTACTATCAATAATACAAGCTAGCAAGAAAGTATTTCTACCCCATTTTGTACTTTTATCCATCTGTACATATGAAGGATTAGAGATGCAAATTTTTAGTAGTGAAATAAAATTGATTTTTTTGTTCTGCTATTATGGTCAATTTTTTTCAAATTTATTATTCCCTCAAGTACGTTGTCCTGAAAACATATAAAACAACAACAACAGCAGCTAAGACACACCGTATGTTGGTAGTATCCAACCCTTGAAAACTTAGATTTGGGTGGTCCCTGTTATGAGAACGAAAAGCCCTGTCTTCAGTCAAGTTAGCAAATGATAAGCTAAAGGAAGCCGCTGCGCGCTCATTGGCTTCCTCCCGTGCAGCAGCAAACTTTTTATAGACGTTGCTTGCCCTTCAGAAAAAAAAAAGTGAGGGATTTAGGACAGTTGGAGAAGCATCTCAGTGAATGAAGCTTGACATGGCTCCCCTTGAGTAATCTGATCTAAAAAAGTGATGACGAGAGGAGGAGAGTAGGGAGGATAAGCGGAGGCTTTCAAGCAAGAGCTCTCCTCTTCTCTAAGCTTGTGCAAATACTCGCTTCATAATGAGGCTGGGAGATTCCCTGATGCTCAGCAGCTGCATGAATAAGTAAGAGGGATTCCTGTGGATGGTCCCCTGACACCAGGCTTACCCTTCCTTCATCATCACTGCACTCCGCTCTGTGTGGAGCCACCGCCTCCCTCCTTTCCCTTCCCCTCTTATCTAAAACCCTTTTGCCCTCTGTACTTGAGAGAGCCAATTTTCCAATCTAAAGTAGGTATAAATAAAATATATGAAAGTTTATGAAGAGTAGCTGACGTGGGAAGCCCAGTAGCAAAGAAAAATATTAGCATAATCGACTTTCTGAGTCTTCTAATGAATTGGTTCAGCCTCTGCTGAAGTTGCCGTAAAGACAGGGAAGTGGAAAAAAGAAAAAGGTGACGAGGGAGGGAGGGTTAACTGAAAAAAGACATATCACACAAACTAAATTTAGGGCTAAAATTTTGCCTGTGTGACTCACTTGTCATGATAATAGAAAGGAAATAAGAGAAGCTTGCTTTTAGCTGCATGTGTAGATTAAAGTGGCTGTTCGGAAGGTTAAAGCTGGAAAGGCCAAATGAATGAAATGTTTGATGGGCTAGTACAGCCAAGACATTGTTACTGTCTTTATAATACTGAATATAAAACAAATAAACTGACGGCAGAAATGAAGGGATGTATGCTTCCTGACTGTCCGATATCTGAGCATGTTTCAAGCAGAGGGACTCGCTGCCGTTCAAGTGAAAGCCGTGACTCAGAGAATTAACAGTTTGGTCCCATGCCTTCACTTCAGTTTCCATTAACTGATGTAATTTCTAATGCTAAGCTCATAAGACAAGATATTTTCTGCCAATTTTTGTCCAGATTTCTCCCTTCTGATACTCTTAAGGTGCCCCAATTATTGGGATGACACTTGGGATCATTTTAGAGGCATTCCTGCTGTGTGTGGTGTATATTACTGTAAGAGTTCTCTGGTCAGTGTGGAAGGACATAGGGACCATTTCAATCTAAAATAGGGATTATTCAACATGTTGGGTTAGGGTTAGGTAATTTAAGCAATTTGAAAAGGTATGCAATTGGATTTGATCCCTGTGTCCTACTTCCCTTCCATTTTACCTTCATGGTATCCTTCTTTCCTCATATCCATCCCCCTTCTGTGAGTTCTTCATTCCTTACTTATTACGTCATTCTTCCCTTGTGTCCTTCCGTCTTGGTTCAGTGCAGGGTTGCTCATTTGTGTCATTCTTTGATTGAGCTGTTCTCCATTCTGTCTCTCCTCTGTCCTTTTCTCATTGTGTCCTTCTTGAATTCCTTTATTGTGTCCTC